CCATAGTAACCTTTTACGGGTAAAATATGAAGTGTCGTAAAAAATATATAACCTAGAATGGAAAGTTCATATGCACTACTATTTTTTTCAAAGGTAAAAATGTAGGGCTGTGCGGCATATTTTGAACATTTATATGCCTCGAACTTCTAAAAGTATAACCTTATACTAAAATTCTTTACTATCTCTTCCTTCACTTTGGGTCTTCTTCAGAATTCAATTTGGCCGCTATCAATGTGTATTAATATTGGTAAAACTCTCAAGCTGTGTCTCTGTTAGATGCAACATAGAGATCATATCTGGGAACCAGTAGGTAAACAAAACAAAATATCTATGAATATTATTTATCTCCCAAAAAAAGGCGTGGTTTGTAAATCAGCTGTATTTACAAAGTGCAACCTGAAGAGGTTTTGATAAATGGTGGAAAATACAAAAAAATATTTCAAAGAACAACTGAAGGTCTTATCATCGTTAATTTTAATTTGTTTATAAGAAAATGAATCTTAACAATAACTTCAGGTTTAAAAGTTACTTCCAGAGACAGGAAGTATTTTTCCAAAATAAACAAATTGAAGTACTTGTTCATGAAATAAGAAAAAAAGTAATTTTCACTTGAAATATGGAATAACATTTGCAACTGCCGGTTGATAGATTGTCTATTATGATGTCTATTCCAGTGTTATAATATTACTAACTTTACGCTTATTCCGAACATATATATTGTTTCTTGACACTTTTCCTTGAAGGTGTAATACCACCAAAACATAGTACGTCACATCCGGTTTCATACGAGATAGGGTCGAAAAATAATATTCCCTTGAATTTTACTGTTGTATGAAATGAACCCCGCATTTCATTGCAGATAAAACTTTTCTCATGCCAAATATTCCTAACTTTATTTGAAACAAAGATAAATTCTACACATTTAAAAAAAATGCCAATTAAACAAATCTAATAGGAGAAAAACAATTGTGGTATTAGGGCGTTTTTCAAAAAATGTCAACTTTCTCTGTCCAAGGCTTAAATTGAGGTAAAATCAAATATATTTTTTTGTTTTTTTTGTTTCAGTATATAAATTGTACTTATTAAAGACAACGTAAAATCTTTTTGTCTGCTTTGTGGTAAGGACTCTCTGAAAATATCAGACTAAAGGGCTCAAAAACAGCAAAAACGCTCTGTACAGATTTGAAATTTCATTCAAATTTTCAAAATTTCATACAATTTACCATTCTTTTTTGTGCCTTTTTCGATATTTTTTCATAGAGCTACATCTGAACATTGCAAAAAGTATTCAAATATGTAGATAAGTTCAAATAGATGTGTGCTAGTAACTTTTAAAGTGGCGTCCATGAAAAAATGTCCACTTCGCAACGACAACAAACAATTGGCAAAATTATAATCATTTGTTTATCTAAATTGTAGTCTTTCCTTTTACTTGCCACTAATACAACTTAATTTAGTAAATTGTCGGTCATCTATGGATGCTGATGATATAGATCGTCTGCATTGAATCAATTGGCAAGTCCTATTGATAGCGTACTTTTTTACTTGTCCACTTTGCAACGTCTTTCTTTGAGAAATGTTGACCTCAAATCATGAAAGACGTGGAGTTAATGAAATAAAATGTATTATCTAAGACAATTACCATAAAAACATGTATCTGAGAAACCGCGTGTAACAATGGCTGCTAACATTTGAATACGTCCACTGCGCAACGGTCCACTACGCAACATTTCATTGCAAATGGACACAACCCGTTGCGAAGTGGACACAGATCGTTTCATAGGAGACATATATCGTTATGGAGTGGACATTTGTGAATATTTAAAAAAACGGCTTGTAATATTTTCTAGTAGTTAAAATTTCAAATCAAATAGTTAAACGGTATAAAATCATTTATTTTGTTTTATTTTGTCAGATTCTTGAAGAAAAAATATCTTTAAACTCTATTTTTTTAGCATGGTAGAGCCTTTAAAAAATCGTTTCAAAGGGGACATCTTGGTACACCATGTTCACTTTTACAAAGTTGATGTCAAACTTACCGTTCAGTTTAAGGTTGCATATTTTGTATTTAGTTTATACTGATGTTAAAGTATTGACATGTACAATTAAATCACTTATTTCTCAACATTTTTTTTCCATTTTCCAGTTGTCAAAAATGGAAATTTTTTGAAAAAGGCCCATTATATATATAATTACTCCTATTTAGGGAAGATGCAAATGCACTTTTGACCCTGTATGTACTCTCATTTTTGTTTAATTTCAAGCTTTTTGACTGGAGTATTGCAGAAATGAAATATAATGAGTGGATTGAGTCTAAAAAACACATTTGAGGAAAATTACCTTGAATTAGGGCTCTAACATGAGTACTAGTAGGCAGAGCAAGCCATACTCCGTGTTTTAGGGATCTTTATTGAACTTTTCCCCTTATTTAATATATTGGACTATAAAAGAACACTTTTTCCTCAATAAATCTTTAAAAAAATATACAGTAATAAGTAAATTAAATGATTTTAGAAGCAGGAAAAACAAATTATTTACTAAAAGGGAACCAATATATGTTCCTCTATGGAACACAGTTTAAACTTACGTTTGACGTAAGGACTTATTGAAACCTCCAAGCAGTCAGTAAACTTTTATTTGGATAGTTCATTCAGATTGCACACTTCAATTACTCATTTATTATCACATGTAGTACATAAATGTGTGATAGTTACCACACAATTTTGATTTATAAGCCGAAAAAGTTAAAATTTTGAGGGAATAAGAGGTATAAATAGACCAATAGTGATTTTATAATAAAGACAAAGAGCTACATTAGTGGTGTTTATCATCTTAGAGTCATCTTTTGCATCATATTCAACTGTTTTTTATGCTGATGAGATGAATATTTGATCATTTATTGGTGAATTTATTGGTTTACACTATGCTCTATCAGGATGCGGCGTGATTTGGATTTTTTGAAGAAATTTTGCTCAAATCGCTGTGGATGTCGTCTTACACTATGCTTAATTTCTCTCAAACTTTTGAACTGATTATAACAAAACTTGACAGTAATACTTGAGATAACCAATCATATTAAGTTTATGCAACAAAAACGTCTTCTTTAGGTGTAATATCACCAAACCAAAGTACGTTACATCCGGTTTAATACGAGAAAGAGTCGAAAATAAAACTCCCTTGAATTTGACTGTTGTAGGAAATTAACCCTGCATTTCCTTCAAAGAGTCATAAACATATATCTTGGGTGTTTCATAGCACATATCTTTTTTTATTTGATGTTTCTACTAAATATATTTGAAACTTGAGGTGACATGGTTACTAAAGCTTGAAGACAGGGAAAAAAGGGGTAACAATTTGATTGGTTTACTTCCGGTGATGGTCATTAACTTGTATGCTATGAAGTGTGTTGTGAAATTTTCACTGTAGTACTGGATATGATAAAACTTTACTCATGCCAAGTATTCCTTTATTTGAAACAAAGATAAATTCTGCACATTTAAAAAAAAAAAATGCCAATTCTACAAAGACTTATAGGGTTAAACAATGGTTGTATTACTTCTGAAATCAGTACAAATACTACTTCTGGTTTGGACAAAGACATTTCCGGTTCACCTTCATCAAGGTAATATGTAAAAAAATAAATAAACCATGTATGTATAATATTAAGCTATAATTAATTATTCATTAATTTAAATTCTTAAAGGGCATTAACCTCTTAGAAGCCAAAAAATCGCTTCCGAACAAATGTACCATATCGGAATATCAATAACCCAAGATTTTAATTTAGAACATGACCTTGATCTTTGAACTTGAACTTAATTTTCAAGTAATGGCCCAAGGATTTTAAAACAAAAGTTCCTATGTATTAGAGGTTCACCAGTAACAATACGGAAGAAGAATAACACCTTAAAGATGTCAGAATTGTACAAAACATCCTGAAGATAAAACGAACAATTAAAAAAATAAGGTTGTCGATATCTTTTTTGTTTACGGTGGAGATACGTTTTCAAGAAAAACAGTGTTAGGGGAGATAAAAGGTAAAATCACAAAATTTTACAATGACAATTGTTCGGTTGAACACCCTGAGTTTTAAACTATAATCACTGTTCGATGTCATACACCAAATATCTCATCAACATGTTTCACAACAAAAGAAATTTCAAACCCGTAATATAGGTACGATATCATGTACCAAGTATCGTTTTGATATCTTGAGAAATCAAAAATTACGAGAAGGTAGTTCTTGAAAGTGACAGGAGAAGGAGAAAAATAATCAGAAGAATAATGATCTGTTTACTTAAAGGGTGAAAAGATTTAATGATAAAGACAAAATTAAAAGGGCTTTTCAGGGAAAGGTCGAAAGACAACTGGTTCTTCCCAATATGATCTAATTACGAAAGTATGCAAGTTAGCTTAACAAAAGGGGCTTCTACGTCATTTTGGTCTCTGGTGGAGAGTTGTCTCATTGACAATCATACCATTTATAAAGTGAAAGGAGATAGACCAGCCAATTGTAACCATGCGACTAATAATTTCTCATAAACTTCATATATTGTTAAAAAAGTTATTGATAATGATAAAGGAAGTGGAATTATGTTATTAATGAGATATAATAATATCAATGTAACTGTATTCCCTTTTATTTTTAGATTATAGATTTCAGCTTTGACTTAAAGGGGCAAGGATGAATGATCTCTATGAAAAATGAGGTGTAATGTCTACAGAAGTGCATTTACTTATTATAAACGTTTCTGTTACACCCTTCTCAATACAATTCCGAACAGTCCTTACGGACTCCATAGGGAATATTACACTTCATTTTCGCCTTTTCCGGTACAGATGGAAAAAATTCAATGAAACTATGTGACGAAAAGGTGAGGATGCAAACAAATCGGAAACAAAGGTTCAATATGTAATGTTTCATAGCAACTTTTGTGTTATCCTATGTGATATAACCGATCATACAATGCAATTTCCTTATATTTACTAATAAAACAAAGTGTAGTATCATCATTTTATTATTCACAGGGCAATTAGGTTTCCTGAAAAGGTACAGTAGTTATCGCTGTCACTGTAAATGGTCTGACTGTTATGACCGGATTTAATGGATACCTTGTCTCCTTTCTCCAACGTCAACACCACATCAAACGTTCCCGTCTTGTATCCCGTACTAGTGATATAGCTTGATGTTATCTTAGCGTTGTTGTTAAAGAGCCTTACAAACAAGGTTTTTCCATCCGTAGACATTACCACTGCTGCAAAATGATACAGTCCTGCCATTGGTGCTGTAAAAACACCGCTACTGGGGTTGTATCCGTTTCCATTATTTGTCCAAACTTTATCGAACTTGACAACAGTATTCACAGACAATGATTGTCTAGATGCTCTGTATGCTGTAAAAGCAGGAAAGTCTTTTCCCTTGGGTAAATGGTCACGACCTGAATTCACTATAAAAATAAAAAATTTGACTGATTTACAAAACATAAAATTCATTTGATGACATAATAACGTCAAAGTACAAATACTGAAAACATCTTGCTGGAAAGGAAGCAAATACCATTATTATTAATAATTTCCTACTCTTAAGATACAATATGATAAAGAAAATATATACATGCATTTGTTGCTGGTACACTGTAATCTAAATTAAATTAAGAATAGAAAATAAAACCACATCCATACAATTTTACATAGAGCAATTCTTCATTAATATTCGGTTAAATGAGACTTTAATTAACTTAAAATAGTTGATTTGTTCAGATAACTATAATAACCAAAAACTTAACATTAAGTCCCAGTTTTAACTTACCAGGTCCCCTGATTTTCAGCATCATCTGAATAAGGTCATCAAATAGGCCATTCTCTACAATTAAAGAGCAAATAGGTATATTTAGAAAAATGAAGGCGTACATTTAGAATTAATGACATCGTACATTTAGAAATAAATCGACTCGTACATATAAAATTACACTCACATTGCTTAAAATGAACAATAACGATTTTTAAAATGATGTGAACGATTACTCATGTACAAAATATATTTTGTATAGATATCCTTACCAAGTTTTTGATTACAGTCTCCTTTGACAGCAACCATTTGTCCACAAAGAAGCAGAACAGGAATAAACAATAAGACCATCATGTTGAAGTTTTCGGCTTATTTCACAAAGAAATTTTCCGTTGCAGCACTTCTGACGATTGGTATTATTTAAACGGTCAGATTGCATGACAGTAGTCATTTGGTGAAATATAATACATCAGTTTTTTTTTCTGTCACACAATTCCATGACAGCTGAATGATAGAAAGCATTATCAAAGAGGTACATGATGTAGTTAGCTAATGTTATGTTCGTTATTTTATTCAACCATAGGAGTCTACAAACCGTTGCCTGGGTCGATGCATTATTTAGAGTAAATTTCATTTAAACTAATAAAATATATTGAAAAATGCCCCGGCATCTAAAGCTACAAACTATTGTCAACATGTTAAGATGAATATGTCGAAATGCATCCATTGAGCTCGTAGATTGTCCGGTAATTGTGTCATCATTCCGTAGAATAGGAATTCTGAAGAAAATCAAATTCGAATCGAAAAATAAATTTCCGAAGCATGAAACCAAGAATATGAGTTTTTGTAAGAAATGCTTTCAACCATGAAACTGATACTAACTTTTTAAATTCATATGTTTAGGTAAAAATCTCGGCACGTTTGATCTTAACATTTCATTGTTAAATTCATGTTTTAATCATAAGGTTGAATAAAAGGTTGAATAAAAGTTTGTGAATCAGCAATGCATTTTAGACATCAATAACATCTAAAAACAATGTGTTTAATTCTAATAACTACTTTCGATTACAATAAACGCCGAAGAAAAATTCATTGTCGAAATGCGCATCTGGTGCAGATAAAATGGTACTCTTAATGTTATTACTACCAATGGGTCGATACCTCTGCTGGTGGACTGTTAGTCTCTGAGGGTATCACCAGACCAATAGCAGTACTTCGGTACTGGCATGAAATACCGATATTGTGTCAAAATTTACTGTTACAAAATTTTGGAAATTATTTAAAATTAAGGAACATATCTCCCTCATGAAAAGCTCCTTGTCCTGCTTTTGCTATACATTTGTACTTTTTGGTTTATTAGCTCTTCAAGTTTTTAATTTTCAAATAAGTTGGTCTCTAGCATTACTGGAGAAACATTTATTGTCTGAATGCACATCTTGTGCGGAAAAATGTGTACCGTTAATGTTATAACTACCACTGGGTCGATACCTCTGTTGGTGGACTGTTAGTCCCCGAGGATATCACCAACCCAATAGCCAGTACGTCGGTACTGGCATGAAAATACGGATATTGAGTTATCACAATTTGCTGTTACAAAATTTTGGAAATTATTTCAAATAAAGGAACATATCTCCCTCATGAAAAGCTCTGATTCCTTGCCCGACATTGGCTTTACATTTTGCTTTTGTTTTGTTTATAAGCTCCTCATTTTTTAATAAGTTTTGGATTGTTCAAATATTTTGGCCTCGAGCATCACTGAAGAAACATTTATTGTCGAAATGCGCATCTGGTGCAGAAAAAATGGTACCCTTGATATTATCATTACCACTGAGTAGATACCTCTGCTTATGGACTGTTAGTCCCTGGAGTTATCACCAGCCTAGTTGTCAGTACTTAGGTAATGGCATGAAAATACAGATATTATGTTATCTAAATTTGATGTTACAAAATTTTGGAAATAGTTCTTAATTAAAGGAACATATCTCCCTCATGAAAAGCTCTGATTCCTTGCCCGGATTGGCTATACATTTTGTCTTTTTTTTTTATCAATAACATCTTCATTTTTCATATACGTTTTGGATTGTTCAAATATTTTGGCCTCGAGTATCACTGAAGAAACATTCATTGTCGAAATGCGCATCAGGTCGAAAATTAGTCCCCGAGGATATCACCAACCCAGTAGCCAGTACGTCGGTACTGGCATGAAAATACGGATATTGAGTTATCACAATTTGCTGTTACAAAATTTTGGAAATTATTTCAAATAAAGGAACATATCTCCCTCATGAAAAGCTCTGATTCCTTGCCCGACATTGGCTTTACATTTTGCTTTTGTTTTGTTTATTAGCTCCTCATTTTTTAATAAGTTTTGGATTGTTCAAATATTTTGGCCTCGAGCATCACTGAAGAAACATTTATTGTCGAAATGCGCATCTGGTGCAGAAAAAATGGTACCCTTGATATTATCATTACCACTGAGTAGATACCTCTGCTTATGGACTGTTAGTCCCTGGAGTTATCACCAGCCTAGTTGTCAGTACTTAGGTAATGGCATGACAATACAGATATTATGTTATCTAAATTTGATGTTACAAAATTTTGGAAATAATTCTAAATTAAAGGAACATACTCCCTCATGAAAAGCTCTGATTCCTTGCCCGGATTGGCTATACATTTTTCTTTTTTTTTATCAATAAGCTCTTCATTTTTCATATACGTTTTGGATTGTTCAAATATTTTGGCCTCGAGTATCACTGAAGAAACATTCATTGTCGAAATGCGCATCAGGTCGAAAATTAGTCCCTGAGGGTATCACAAGCTTAGTAGCCAGTACATCGGTACTGTCATGAAAATACCGATATTGTGTAAATAAAATTTGCTGTTATAAAATTTGGGAAATAATTTTAAATTAAGGAATATATTTCCCTAATACAAAGCTCCAATTCTTTGTCATACTTTTGCGATACCTTTTGTTCTTTTTGGTTTAGAAGCTCTTCATCTTTTTTTAAAACTTCGGATTTTTCGTATATTTTGGCCTCGAGCATCACTGAAGAGACATTTATTGTCGAAATGCGCATCTGGTCGAAAAATTGGTACCATTAATGGTATTACTGCCATTGGGTCGATACCTCTGCTGGCCGAGTATATCACTAGCCTAGTAGTACTGGAAAATAAGGATATTGTGTAAATAAAATTTGCTGTTACAAAGTTTTGGAAATTATTTTAAATCAAGGAATATCTCTCGAGTAACGCTATAATTCATTGCCCGGCAATAATAGAAAAGTTACTAAGGATTCACAAAAACAAAACTATAGGAAAATACAAAATAACTCATTTGTTAGAATCCAGAACCAATAACAGAAGTTCATGGAATTTACAAAAATTAGACCCTCATCCTTCAAAATCCATTTTATCTATATTAACTCTGGGTCAATATGTTTGCAAAAGTATATTGTTGCTAGAAATAGATATAAGAAGATGTGGTATGAGTGCCAATGAGACAACTCTCCATCCAAGTCAAAATTTATAAAAGTAAACCATTATAGGTCACAGTACGGTCTTCAACACGGAGCATTGGCTCACACCGAACAGTAAGCTATAAAGGGCCCCAAAAATTACTAGTGTAAAACCATTCAAATGGGAAAAACCAACGGTCTAATCTATATAAAAAACGAGAAACACTTATGAACCACATCAACAAACGACAACTACTGAACATCAGATTCCTGACTTAGGACAGGTGCAAACAAATGCAGCGGGTTTAAACATTTTAATGGTACCAAACCTTCACCATTTTTCTGAAACAATAGTGTAACATCACAACATAGAAAGACACACTATAAAATATCAACTGAAATAGCTTAACTCAATCAAAGGACATATTAACATCATTGAACATACACTGAACAAATAAATTTGACCTATGATACAATGTAAATACAAAATAAATAAACTAAGGGAAGAATAATAAAAGTAACATGCTATAATTAAAGAAAAACAATATGCTCGAACAAAAATATCAGCCATTTGCAATAACTTTAAACACAGGTAAATGAAAATAATTTTGTTGTTAGGTAGAAAACCTATATCAAAAATGTGGATATGATTTCTGAAAATTTACCAAAATTGAAAATAGAAGATCAATTCAAATAGTGTCCTTTTGAAATCAAATTGTTTCATGTCAAAGCTTAAGTCATAACATTAACCAAAATATGTGGCTGATGCATTTACAAGCCATTGTTATTCTATGGGACTTATAGAAATTTTATCAATATTAGAACCACATCGTTATGAAATTCAATTGGTCAATGTCTAAGTCGTAACGTTTCCAAGAAAATGTGGTTGATGATAGATATAAGAAGATGTGGTATGAGTGCCAATGAGACAACTCTCCATCCAAGTCACAATTTGTAAAAATAAACCATTATAAGTTGATGAGTCCTTTTATCAATAACTATTTTTCTGACAGACTTCTGTGAAATTTACTAAATTTTAATCCCCATTCCTTTAAATTCAATTGCTCCATATTAAAGCTTAGATAAATATGTTTCCCAGGTGCTAGATACCTTTTTTTTGATAAAAATGTGGGGTCTGTCAAGAAATTTACCCAAAATAAAATTGCAAGAGCAATTCGACAAGTCAATTGTCATGCTACCAAGTATAATCCTGTGACAGAATATTTTCAAAATCAAAAGGGTGCTTTCAGAAATGGAGGAATAACAATATGTCAATCAACTTTCATTTGTGACATTACTAGATTAGCAATTTTAAGCAATAAGGAATGAAACCCTAAACTGGCAGTTTCCATGGAAATGGCAACCATTTTGTATGTTTAAAACATTTACTTTACAGATTCTTATGAACAGTAACATTACAGTAGATTTTAATTTAGATTGGAATTAACTTGTTATCAGTTTCCATAGCAATAGTGGTAATTGTGAGAGAAAAAAAATCACATCTTCACATCACAGGTTACATACCTATAAATGTTCTTTAAGAAAATTCTGCTGTCAATTAAAATAATTTTTACCACAAAATGATAAGGAAATTGTTTTACTGTACTGGATACTTGATTCAACTCTCGCTTCCTGCTGCTTGTTGATTTTTAAAATATATTCTTGTGATCTTCACTATCTGTTTCGAATTAGTTCTATTGTGTATTTCCACAGAGCACTTTGTTTTTTAATTGACATGACTGAAGATACTTTGATGACTTGCATGAGTTCATTCAATGATAGGTTGCTGCCTCAGATGATTACCTGTTATTTCCTTTAAACGATACTTGAAAGGGGCAAGATCTTTAACTTAGTGCACAAAAAAAAAAAACATAATTTTTTAAAATTTTATTTCATTTTGACATTCATAGTTATCACCATAAATATATTTTACATCTACATATTATATAAATAAATATAAATATCACAGTTTGCTTGTTGGCAGTTTGAATCAGATCTGTAAAAGTTAAGTTACTAAAAATGAATGAAATTGTTTCAATCTCCCCATTTAGCAGTCAATAAAAATATAGACATATTAACAATTGTAATCTTCAATTGGTGATTATTTTAACCAAATTATTACTGAGTGCTACCAGTAGTTATTGAAATTGTTGTTACGAGTATCTATGAATGTAGAAAACTGCCTGTTTATTGTATAGAACATATCACTCCATATCAAAAGAATATCACTATCAATGGCATCTTTAAAATTTCCTAGCTTAAAGATGTAGTTGCCAACATACATGTACAACTTGACAATTCACAACAGCAGATTCAAACACAAAACCCTTTTTCATTATTAAAACTTTCAGACAACAAAATTATTCAAACTTGGTATCTAACGGTATAGATAGTTTCATTTTCTAAAAGTAATCACAGAGTCAAATACGGTTTCTTCTGAGCTTATAGGACCAAAAAATTCCATGTCTAGCTTGAGCATGGGAGGTCAAAATTTACAGATTGAACATGTTGAAAAATTTTGGAAATGCAATTTCATTACTTCACTTCCATTTCTTTTTAATGTCTGTATAAATATAAATCATCGTTGTAATGTTAAACTTGTTATTTCCCTGGAAGAAACAAAATAAAATCAGTTTTCAAAAATCATGACTACCTTTGCTCATAATTGAGCCATTTTATCTTCTTGAGGGTATAGTAGAAATCACTAAAATTATAATTACCAGAATCAAACCACTATCTTCAGCAAATGCTCTATTCTACTGCTAATAACAAGGTATATCTAATTTGAGTTGCAGAAGAAATGAGAAAGATATCTGTATGGAGACTTTCCTAAAATCGCAATAATTAATCTCGCATTTTTGTACATTCTACAAAAATTGCAATAGTAAATGCACGCAATAATTTCTGAATTTACAGTTTGTGAGCGTGAGTAAATAACACCAATCACTTGCAAAGAAATATTTTAAGTTTTGGTGTAAAATCTTACTTAAATGAATATATTTTCAAAAACCAAAACACGGATGTAGTTACTTCTACATTGTTTGCACAGGAGCGCTTAATTATTGAAAAAAGTTTTTTTTTAAAAAGAAGAGGAAAGGTAAAGGCAGGCAGTTAAAAATATATATCATTTTGAAGGATAAAATTACATAAATACATTTAAATGAAGATACTGACCCGCAAAACACAATGTCCAATCTACAACTTTGTAACAATGAAATAAAAACTGGTTCAATTTAGTAAAGGCATTTCTATTTTAGATAGTGTTAATTTTTCTAACTTCATCACTTGTTTTAGGCACTTGTTATAGTAAGAGATCTAATAAGTTTCTTTAGACAACAGAGCATTATTAGCAAAAACTAAACAACCTATAAATTAATCTGATATTATACATATGCAATACCTAAATATGGGTCTTAACTATAAGTAGCATTAATTTTAAATGTCTCCTCATTTTTGTCATCCTCATCGTTAATAAACACCATGACCTCAGATGCTCCAGTTTTCATCACTGGGGCAAAGCGTAATCCTATCGTGTGTTCCGCTCCACCTTCGACTTCTATTCGTGTTTCTTTAAACTGTAACAATTCTGGCTCATTTGTGAGTAGAATAAATGTCTTTTTGTGAGGGTAAGGATTGGTATAAGTTATTCTCTTGCTACTTCCCTTTCCTCCTCCCACTGGTAATGAAAGATCAAACACCCGTGAAATCATTGGAGATCGGCAGGTTACACAAATCAGCCAATTTCTGATCAACTGGTGGTATTCAATATCAACTACATTCAAATGGAAGATTTTAATGCCCTCGTTTAATGGACGGACTGCTACACTGAGTTCATGGACGGCACCAGCAGCTAACATAAATTGTTCATTTGGATACAGCTGCATTTCTTGATCATTAGATGAGAAACATCTAACAAGACGAGATGACTGTGTTCCCCTGAAATGAAAATATGTTGTTTTAAAATTTTAGGTTACACAATAGTATAAAGCAAGTGCTGACCTGTAAAAAACTGAAGATACATATGTCAGTGGATCTTTTATTCAATGTGAGTCATTTCTTATGATTTTAAACATTTTACAAAAATCATTGGAATTTAGAGATTAATTAATCGCAGAAGTTTGAATATTTACTTAAATCAAGGCAACTGAAAACATATAACATATTGCTTACTTATATTTTGAGACAACTGTATGCTTTTTATGGGTCTATAATCACATAAATTGAATATCTGTGAAAAGTTATCAATGACTTTAGCACATATATAAGCATTCTATAACGCTTAAAGACTTCACATTAAATTGATAGGATTCAAACTTGGATAAAATCTAACAAATCATTTTTAGGATAATATATAAAAAAAAAGATGTGGTATGCTTGCCAATGAGACGACTATCCATCAGAGACCAAATGATGTAGATGTAGATGTAAGCAAGTTTTTAATTCTTTTGAGTATCATGCATTGAGTATCAGATAAAATATTTTTTGGTAAAAAAATAACCTACATTATATTTGAAAATAAAATCATTTTTCTTGTTTCAAATCTGGGAATATTCATACTTCAAGCATTACCCTCCTAAGGTAGCAAAACCCATAATTTTTATCATGTGACAAGTACATGATTTTCACTATTTATTCCCAACTTACCTGAGTAGTAAGGAGAATCTTGATGTTTGTCCCTCCACACAGGACACATCGACTCTCTGTAGAGAATGGGCGTAGACTTGCCAAACCTGGATAGGCTTAGACATAAAGGCATCAGTGAAAATGGCTATATAAAATCTCTTAATCTGTGGAGAAGCACCCATTGCAACCTGAAAAATATTTTATAAGAATTTCATGAATAATATTTTATAAGAATTTCATGAATAATATTTTATAAGAATTTCATGAATAAGACAATTACTTTTACTTTTCAGGGGTTCAAATTATTGTGGTTCTGAGGTCTGAACCTGTCTTTTAGGGGAGGGGACTTTTCATTTTTAAATTACAAAATAAAAGACCACCCATTCTTTATACTGATGCTTTCAATATACAGAACCTTTGAGTTTCATGAGGACTTTTTCACTTGAAAATTCAAATGGTGCTGGACCCTTCATTATTAAGAGAAAATTTGATCCCTTGATTTGCATTTACTATCTAAAAAAGACATGCAAAAACAATTATAGATATGAGCTATGGTGTACCTTTAGATATACATCAAGTGGTTCTCCTGGTTGTGTAGCTTTACATTCTGTTATTATATTAGGATCACTGCACCTAACAAACAGCTGATTCAGTCCTCGGCCTCCTACAGGCACTCCTGAAATACATATATATCACAAGAACATAGTATCTGATAAAAAAATACAGGTAAGGGGGAGGGTTTGGCACCAGCAAACATGTTTAACCCTGCAACATTCTGTATGTGCCTGTCCCAGGTCAGGAGCCTGCAATACAGTGGTTGTTGTTTCTTGCTGTACATCATATTTGCTTTTTGTTTATTCTTTTGTACATAAATCAGGCCCTTAGTTTTTACGTTTGAATTGTTTTATAGCTGACTATGTGGTATGGGTTTTTCTCATTGTTGAAGGCCGTACAGTGACCTATTGTTGTAAACTTCTTTGTCATTTGGCCTCTGGTTATATTAACAAGAGAGTAGAGGCTGTGTTGTTATAATGGTGATACGTTATCTAATCATCATTATAATCTTACCAGGTAAGGAATCCATAGGTATTCTAATGGACCTTTTTAGGAATGTTTGTTCTGGACTATGGAATCTGAAGGTCTGGTCTATAACATGAGGTATAGGTTGGACTTTTAATGACATGATAGATACTGACTTGCCATCTTCTCCATTAAAATGTACCTACAAAAAAACAAGTAACTGTCAACTGGTAATTTAGGCCAACTCCAAAAAAAAAATTGCTTCAGTAGGTTTGAAGACCAAAAAATTCTCAAAATGAATTCAAATTCTTAAAATCAGCAATCAAGATATAAAACTGTGAAATTAAAGGCATCTTTGGAAAGTTATGGCTGTGGTTGTCTCAATATTATATCTAAATGTTTTTTGCTATTTTGGTAATTTGGTATTGATCACAGATCTTTCAAAGTCTAGTTAAATCTGCTCACAACACTATGTGCCTCATCCACTTAAATAATTAGTGGTGGAGTCATAAAAATATTGAAAATGTGATAAAACTTATTTTGTAATGTCAGTTTTGTAAGTAGCTAGGTAAAAATGAATGAAATGATAATAAAATTCTTGATTGATATATTGTATTTAAAGTATATATTTAAGGATATTGTACTTCAGATCATGTACATCTGAAAAACCTATGAAAGACATGTAATTTTGTTTAAATAAATGGGGAATGTCTACATGGGACACAGATGATGCCCCCGCTTGCATATAACGTTATAAAGGGACATAACTCATGAACAGTAAAAGTGACGCTACCCAAATTCGTACCTGATCTGAGTTTTGTGGTAATAAACATTGTGTATAAGTTTCATAACATTTGGTTGAGGCAAACTTAAGTTAGAGAATGGAAAAGAAAAATTCATCAATTTTTCTATTTGTAAAGGGGCATAACTCTAGAAAGGTAAAAGTGATGCCACCCAAATTCAAATTTGATCTGTGTTCTGTGGTAATAAGCATTGTGTATAAGTTTCATAACATTAGGTAGAGCCAAACTAAAGTTAGAGAACCAATTTCGGAATGTACAGACGGACAAGGGTAAAACTTAATGCCCCCCTCTGCTACGGCGGGGGCATAAAAAGGAATGTCTTTGAAATGGTCAAATATATTCTACATGAAAAAAAGAAAAGAAAGACATTATTTTAAAACAATTGGTATTGATTAATTGATAATATTTAAGTAAATACCCTAATTAGACTTTCTTTCAAACTATCCTCTGATTTTTCAATCTTCTTTTCACTTTTTTTGAATGGATCAACTGGTCCCTGAAAATAATAAACTGGAATCAAACATATATTTATGTATATTTGTTGAAATAAACTCTATATACATACATTCCAGATGAAACCACTGGAAGAGAGACAACTCTTGCATTGTGCCATTTGAATAAATTACTGATACACAAATGTGTCTTAAAATATATTTCATATGGTTGTTAAAAAAAAATCTATCTGTTTTGTTTTAAAATGTCAACATTTCAGCATAATATAACAAATAATTCATCAGTTTGAGGCAAAATGGCATTTTTTGGACTGTGAGGTCATCTCCCAAAAACTATATGGACCTCACCTGTATTTTGTTCCATATACTTTGTGGAAGATGACTATCCAGTCGACATACTGACATATTGTCCTCATTTTGCAATAATTTTTTGTTAAACCTCTTTTTTTTGTATAATATTCTTTACAATAATTGAAAATGAACAAAAAGATAACAATTAACTCAATTTACTGAACTGCAAGAGATATTTCTATACATCTCTACTAAGTTGCTCAATCATGCTTTTAAGAGGACTTACTCTTGATACTGGAATATCTAGAAGAACATTTCATATGCTTGAACACTGAAATACCCAATAGCCAAAATTGATAGAAAAAATGCAAGATCCATATTTTTGGAAAAAGGGCTTCAGGCTGTTCCATTTAAACATACATGGCACCCAGGTACGGCATTTTAAAAATGGGTAACCATCTATGGATGGAACTTGAGAATTTCTCTTTTTCACTATACAAAACACCCAGCCAAAAGTGGATATTTCAAAGTGCCTTCCCTTGTCCCACATGTATTAATGGAACCCTTCTTATCAGTAGTTTCCCTTTATAATAGACCCCTGTCTTTGCACACAACCATACAGTCTTATGTACATACCTGTGGATGAACAGTGTGATCAGCCTTAAATGACAAATATTTAAATGGAATATACACAGTCTCCTTTGGCCTGAGGAATATACATACCTGTGGATGAACAGAGTGATCAGCCTTAAATGACAAATATTTAAATGGAATATACACAGTCTCCTTTGGCCTGAGGAATATACATACCTGTGGATGAACAGTGTGATCAGCCTTAAATGACAAATATTTAAATGGAATATACACTGTCTCCTTTGGTCTGAGGAATATACATACCTGTGGATGAACAGAGTGATCAGCCTTAAATGACAGATATTTAAATGGAATATACACAGTCTCCTTTGGTCTGAGGAATATACATACCTGTGGATGAACAGAGTGATCAGCCTTAAACGACAGATATTTAAATGGAATATAAACAGTCTCCTTTGGCCTGAGGAATATACATACCTGTGGATGAACAGAGTGATCAGCCTTAAATGACAGATATTTAAATGGAATATACACAGTCTCCTTTGGCCTGAGGAATATACATACCTGTGGATGAACAGTGTGATCAGCCTTAAATGACAAATATTTAAATGGAATATACACAGTCTCCTTTGGCCTGAGGAATATACATACCTGTGGATGAACAGTGTGATCAGCCTTAAATGACAAATATTTAAATGGAATATAGCCAGTCTCCTTTGGCCTGAGGAATATACATACCTGTGGATGAACAGTGTGATCAGCCTTAAATGACAAATATTTAAATGGAATATACACAGTCTCCTTTGGCCTGAGGAATATACATACCTGTGGATGAACAGTGTGATCAGCCTTAAACGACAGATATTTAAATGGAATATACACAGTCTCCTTTGGCCTGAGGAATATACATACCTGTGGATGAACAGTGTGATCAGCCTTAAATGACAGATATTTAAATGGAATATACACAGTCTCCTTTGGCCTGAGGAATATACATACCTGTGGATGAACAGTATGATCAGCCTTAAACGACAGATATTTAAATGGAATATACACAGTCTCCTTTGGCCTGAGGAATATACATACCTGTGGATGAACAGTATGATCAGCCTTAAACGACAGATATTTAAATGGAATATACACAGTCTCCTTTGGCCTGAGGAATATACATACCTGTGGATGAACAGTGTGATCAGCCTTAAATGACAGATATTTAAATGGAATATACACAGTCTCCTTTGGCCTGAGGAATATACATTCCTGTGGATGAACAGTATGATCAGCCTTAAACGACAGATATTTAAATGGAATATACACAGTCTCCTTTGGCCTGAGGAATATACATACCTGTGGATGAACAGTATGATCAGCCTTAAACGACAGATATTTAAATGGAATATACACAGTCTCCTTTGGCCTGAGGAATATACATACCTGTGGATGAACAGTGTGATCAGCCTTAAACGACAGATATTTAAATGGAATATACACTGTCTCCTTTGGTCTGAGGAAGATCTCTGCAAACTGAGATTTACTTTGTTTGGTAAACATTCCTTCCTCTAATGGTGACTGTAAACCATTCAGTTGTTTGAAGTATCTCCATTCACGAGCATCTGTGATTACACTGAAAACAGAAAGGATGTTTAATAATGATAAATAATAATAAAACTTACTTTTATTTCAAGAGGGTAATTTCAATTAGTACAAAAACTATTCTCCCTTGAGATCATCACAATGCATCACACAAAATTTTACATAACCAATATAACATTATAAATTATACAGAAGAAATTGTTAATATAAATTATATTCATTTAATTATTCCTTGATTATCCAGTAAAAAATTAAAACAGTATTTATATTTGTGTCTCAGTGCTTCTGGAAGTTCATTCCATATAGTTGGAACAGAAAATGCAAAAAACCTTTTAAATGTGTTCGTTCTTGCCTTCAGTATACTCAGTTCAGAGGTTTTTACTATGATAAAAGCACTGCATTGTATTCATCATTAGTTCTACTATTATCATTGTAATCATGCATATGTATTAAACAGACATCTGTATATTGTTGAAGTTGTTATTTTGACCTCTAGATGTCTTTTGGTTTTCTGTGTCATTGGGTTGGTGTCTCACACATGTATATATACTGGTATCTCCTTTTATTACATTCAATTTTATCACATAAACAAATTGTACAAATATAACAATTACACTTACTGTAAATACTTGTCATCAAACTCCACAGTAAATGTTTGCTGTACATTGTAAGGATTTTTCAGTACAAACTCAAAGAATTCTGTACTACCAAATGCTGGATTGATCACGTGATCTGTAGTGATAGCCTGACTGAGCATGTTCAAGATTCCGTCCTTCTTACTTTGCATACGGTAAATCTCAAGTGTCTTAAAATCTCTCATCCTCTCTTGCTTCTCTGTTTTATAACTCTGGGAATATAAAAAACAAAAACCATTTTATTCCAAAGCAAACCTTTTCACCATGTCAGGAAAAACATGTTTGTATTAGATATACTGTATTTTCTAATAGGTTATCAATTTTATGTTGTGCTATAACACCACTGTCTAAAATAAGGGGGAGCGCTGAGTGCTTGCAAATACGTTTAACCCCATTACATTCTGTATGTGCCTGTCCCAAGTTAGGAGCCTGTTATTTAGTGGTTGTAGTTGGGTCGCTGTCTATCATATTTGTTTTTCGTTCATCACTACCAAATTGCAGGAAGTTCTGATATGTAGTTACTAAGAAAAATGTGGTAATAACTTTATTGTACAGATGAACAGAAAGACACACAAAGCAGTGGACAAAGATGAAGCAGTATACCACCCTCTTCTGGAGCAAGGGGTATGATAAAATGATTAATAAGAAGTTAACTTTCATTTTGGTCAATCAGCCCTATCTGAAGGTGAAATTAGCACTAAAATGTTACTGGTAATATTTTTAATTATAAACAACATAATAATAACTTTTTACCATAACAGTATTAAACTTATTATCTATTCCCTCCTTCTGTCTGACGGCCTCCATACGTGATAACTTTCTCAGTTTCTCTGAGTCTCCTTCACGATTATTGTCCCTCTCAGGAATAACTTGGTCCTGATGTGAGTGAAGTAGGGCTGCTACTTCTCTGTTACTCTCTGTGATGTGATGAGCTCTGGCTACCTTCTTCTTTGGTGTTATACCTTAATGGGAAAAAAACAATTTTCTAAACATATATTGTTGTTCGGTAAATTGGGCAAAATTGTACTTCGTATTTAAGTACAATAATCGTATTTGACATTTAAATGACTATTAGCCATGGACTATCAACATGAAACCAGACTGGCATGCTTCAAGAACTTTATCATAATACTTTTAAAACATATCAGACTTTTTGAGGCTCAAAACCAATAAATTACTTGTTAGTTAATCTTCCTGTAACAATCTCTTCTTTCTTTCAATTCATACATTTTAATAAGCAACCAATATAATAACAACTGTGTTTATTTACCTGTATAATTAGTATTTAGACTGTATTATTTACCTGTATAATTAGTATTTAGACTGTATTATTTACCTGTATAATTAGTATTTAGACTGTATTATTTACCTGTATAATTAGTATTTAGACTGTATTATTTACCTGTATAATGAGTATTTAGACTGTATTATTTACCTGTATAATTAGTATTTAGACTGTATTTATTTACCTGTATAATTAGTATTTAGACTGCCACCAGGATAAGCAATGTTACCTGCTGTATTTGAAATGACTTTGGTAGATTTACTGGACACTGTAAATAGTATATATATAGAGAGACTAGCTACAAGGTTATAGAGAACTATACTACATTTAGATATTACATTCTGCCATAGATTATCTATATTTTAACACAGACTCTCTCTTTGACAATCTAAGACTAGACTTATATACATTTAAGACAGATGGTATTATCAAAGTAGAGATAGAGATAGATGAAGGTAAACCTAAATAGGTCATAAATGACAGATCATTGAAGATATGGTTCAACAAACTGATTCAAAACTCAATTGCTTGCCAAATGATTGAAAGTTGGGGTTAGTTGAAATGATAAATGCAATATCATATTCTAAATATCAACTATACATTAAATAATTTTGCACCAATAATGAATACACTATTTCATCCAATGGTATTTGTGCAAATCTAAACTTATCTTTTATTTTTAATTCTATACAGTTGTGCAGTAAGTTGTCAAACAGTTTTTATTTTAATTCTACACAAATTTTGGTTGGATTTTGGTTTTATGTTATTTATTTCTATTAGATATTGACCAAAATAAGTATAATGGCCAAAAAAAAAAAGATTTGCATTTTAAAGAACAATCTTTTTTAGGGGTCATATACCATCAGTGCAAAGATGAATATCCCAAAAACTGGGAGTTGAGATATGTTTCTAAATATATCTTTTTCTTCCAGTAAAAGTCCATCACAAGGCTTTAAATGTGGGATTAAACTTTATATGAAGAACAACAAGACATGTGTACCTTAGGAAGTGTATGGTTTCATATTATGGGATATAATTAAGGTTAAAATGTTAAAAAAAATTCAGAAAAAAAATATTTCAAGATCTGATCATCAGGTATGAGATGGGATTGGCAGCTTCATTTTTATATCACATTGAGACAACATTTGTTTACAAACAGATATATAAAATAGAGTGAAATAAAGATAATTAATATTGTCTAAAACTAAAAGACAGAGAAAATTATTTTATCTATAAATCAACACAACACTAGACTGATGGATATAAAACAAAATTATTAATGTAGTAATAAAGAGCCTCACCCTGCTGTGTTTTTGTTAACATGCCATCTATAAATGAAATTTAGGATTTAACATTATGGGAACAATATCATGGATTTTTTTTACTTGAATTTTTGAATTTTATACAAATCTAATTTCCATTTTCAAATCTAATTAAGATTTTTTTATTTATTGAATATTGATCATGGTATATTAAAAATATCAATACATGTGTCTATTACAAATAATTAATGGAAAGCTTTTAGGTTTACAACCTCATTGACATATGAATAACAGTAGTTGTCGGGAAAGTTGAAGTTAAGACAACATCACAAGTTTACCAAAGATTGTTTAAACCACATAGTTCAATTAAGAAAAAATAAATACAAACCCATTAAGTTGGCTTTAGGATCAGAATAATGTCCAACATTAGCCATCCTAAAATGCAGTTTTCCTTTCATCATGGACTGTATCCCTAATGGCTGAGCACCTTGACTCTGGGTACCAGCTATAAGATTGGGGTCATCATATTCCATCATTACTACATCAAGTTCAAAGGTCGACTGAACAGCTTCGTGTCCACTTCTACATAAATACTGAAAAATAAATTAAAACTCTAAGCATCAATTAAATGATATTGATATAATATGACATCAATTATATCAAGAAACGCATACAAACTCTCATAGACAGTTATTACTTATCATGGAAAAAAAGTATTTAATGTACATTAAGAAATTAAAGCAGTGTTCCAGCTAGGTCGTTTTCACAGGGCGGTCCGCCCGCCCTTTCCCGAGTGCCGCCCTGTGCCCTTTTTACAGTTTGCAGAGCGCCCTGCCTTTTTTGAAGATCGATTGGTATATTATTTTGTTCGTATTGATATGATCAGCCAATAACGAAAATTTACCTGGCGACAATATATGACTTTGTTTACGACCCAAAGCTAATCAACGGTTACAACAGGTGTCATAATCTGTTGTTATAGGTAATCCGTTTATCGGATGGGTCATTTAATGATCATCAACATTAATTCATTCAAATAGAATCGGTCAGTCGGCATTTGTCTTTAAACTTGAAGAAATGTTCATACAACTTGGGCACAATTAGCAATATTTACCGTAGTTTCATGGAGAAAACGTAATTGACAGAAAGTCGAAAACCATAATCAACTCGTTAAAAACATTGCTCTTATTGTTTTCCGTGAAATAAATAGCAAATTAAGACGTATTTTTCATTGACTGCCTTCATTTTTTATACGAAAATAACAAATTCGGCCGCCATATTGTTGATCGTATTTACATCTTCTACGTACTGTTTATTATCCTCCAAAGAAGGAGCACACCCAAATAAAGAAAGATAACTCAATCTTATTTTTTCCTAGCATTGAGTAACCTACTAAGATATTCATGATATTATTAAATATGTCTTCATACTTCTGGCTTTAGAATTTATATGTTTAGGTGTTTTGACTTATGGGAAAAGTTAAAGAGGGTCTTAGTAGCAGGGTTGGTAGGGTGCCTTGGTCATCTTTTTCTGTATTTTTTATTTTCAATCCAAATTTTCACTGTTCACTATATCCTAACATTGTGCATTTACAGCTGTTTTGTGCTGTATTGCCATTAAGCACAGAAAAGGTAGAAAGGTGAAACTTGTAAAGTGTGTCAGACCATAGAAACAGAATGAAGCAGGACATTTTTCAAAAAATACTGCATATAAAGCTTAACTGTGCCAAGCAATGATTTAAAACTTGGGTGACAAGCTGCTTGACAAGTTTTTAGCCTAAAAAGTAGAAAGATAAGTTTTTCTCTGGGCTAATGATGTTGTTCTTGTATATATATAACCAGTGATTCAATGAACAAACAATGTTTGATTATAATCTTTATTAAAACATGCCCTTTTCATATTATCATATCACGCGTTAAATGCCCTTTTTCAGGATTGGCACCCTGCCCTTTTGAAATCCTAGCTGGAACACTGTAAAGTGATATTTTCAATAGCATGATCAGTGCAAAATATCTAATTGAGTTCTGATCCCATTATTTCAAAGGTTTTTCTTCTAATTATCCTTTCAAACAGAACTAATTCTAATGAGGGAACCCTGTCCCATTCATCTAAGCATAGTTAACTTATTATTAAACACAATCCTCATTTTTTAAAATCAACTTTGGTATAACTAAGAGATGATGACCAACTTCATAATGAAATTCCACTTTTGAACATCTAAAGGTATATCTACTACTCTGAGAGTCATTAAAAACTATCCATTCCTTGTAAGTGATTCCCCATTCATTGAAGCAAAACCACACCTTATGAGGGAATCCGGAGTTCAAAGATCTTTAAAGATACCTACCATGAGAGGTACTGAAGCAGAACCAATCCTCATCAGTGAGTCTCCATCCCAGACATCAATATGTAATCTCTGTCTGTATAGATGAGATAAAAGCAAACTGACTTCTCCTAGTTTCATAGACATTGGATCCATATAATATTTAACCTAAAACATCAAATTACACTTCTGGTTAATAATAATATCTTATCATGTTATAACCTATATATTAATTTTGATTTTTATCTATTATGTTTGAAGCAGGGCTTCCAAAAAATATTTGTGCCAGCCAGACATTTATTGTCTTATCAAGATTTTAATCCTTTAACACTAAGTAACAAAAGGCAATCATGGTAATCAGTTGGGCATCATATAAACAATGATTGACATAAAAACAATATTAAACTTGACTTTTGATACAAATTCAATGTACTGACGTAAACTGTTAAATTGACAGTGCATCATTCGAAGTGTGCAACATTAGCATACTAATATCTGCCTTAGAATCTTTATTTGTGCAAAATTCAGTTGTCAAAATCTTTACTTTTGTTTTTTTAGAAGGCACATTTTCTTATAAGGGATGTTGACTTGACAATGGTAAAACACAGACCAGGGATGGATACGTAAAATCTGTGTACATTTACATAGCACGATTGAGTTTAAGTTGCTCTTTCCAAGTTATTTCTTGAAGAAAATATTTGAAATGAACGATAGATAAAGGTGTCAATGATAATTTTAGAATTTTTGAAGAATTTGGAAGAAAAAAAAATCTCATAACTGGGCACACGTGTACTAGTTAAAAAAAAGTGGTTCTGACAATTTTTCGCTTACCTTTATAAATACCTTTTTAAATTTTTCATCAAATCATATTTAAATACGTATTTTTGATAATCTTAATCTTTTTGACTAAATAAATTAGATGCAAACCGCTGAAATTTATGAAAATAACTTCAAATATACTGATCAATATCCGGTACATATTAGTTAACCTGTCACCTGAACAGGTAAATTTCAACTGTCTGACGACTAATTAACCTTGATTGCAATGAGAGGGTATTTAAGTAGGGTTTGTTTTGATAGTACTTATTCACCATGTCACTATTATGACCAGAAATGTGGCTGTTTAAGGCAAAAGGTCAGGTCAAATAGATCCGAAAAACTTTCAATTTTTTTTCTGAATTATGTTAAAATGACAAACCAACGTTAAATGTCAGTTTCAGGTTTGGCACAACAAGTCATAAGATAATTTATTGGACAAGTCCGAACAATACGACCGTTTTGGAAGCCCTGGTTTGAAGAACAAATCATTTAGAATACTAACTCTAAACTTTGAAGTGGGCAAATCATTTCTTTAATTTAGCAGAAAAATCACTGTACATCTTTATTAGTTTCTGTTCAATTTATTCACAACATTTTATAAAGATTCATGGTGAATAAGAGCTTGAAATACCATACATCATTTTTTTTCCACTGATTGGGACAGCCTTAGAAATAAATTTGTTCGCTGTGTTCATAATTCTCGTTTCATGACCTTGAACAATGCATTTAAATGAACAGTGAAATGTCGGTGTAGGGAAAAGTTTGCCGCGAAAATTAAACACACACAAATACAGAATTGTGTAGACACTCTTTTGTTGATGAACAAATGTCTTTGGTTTTTTTTGTGTTTGTTGGGTTACTGTCTCAATGACTTATACCAAACATTTTCCTTTATTTATATATAATAAAATGCATACCTCTAGTCCTGGTGGTCCATTACTTAGAGCTCCATCTTTCTCTAATCTCTGCAGTATAAATGGCATGGACAATGGATCTGAAGACAGGTCATTCTGTGGTTTCGCCAACAACAGTCTGTAACATAAACATACATATTGGTTTTTTGTCTCGATTAAAACATATCACATGAGCAAAGATTGATTTGAATGGAAAATTAAGTTCTTATGATATATTTTCAAAAGTGTTAGAAATTAAGCCTATCGTCTACCTACACTGCTAGTCCATTGTTCAAACAAATCTCTCTTTAGTGCAGAAAACAGATCTTTTCTTATACAGGTTTTGTTTATTTAACTGAAAACAAAAGTTAGGATACAAAATTGAACATTTAGACCAGTCCACTGTTACCTTCTGTAGTAAATTGTGGACATTTATAGAAGGTATATAATTTACCTTTGTATATCTTACCTGTATACACCTGTAGAAACCTTAAGACATATATTTACCTTTCTGTGGTAACTTGTGGACACCTGTAGAATTGGAAAGTAAAGAATACTGTCCCGGCATGTTTATTCTTCTCTTGGATGTCACTGCCATATCTGCAATAAATAGCAATTTTTTTTGTCTACATTTATAAAGTTTTCTAAAAAATTTGTAATATAAAGTTGAAAAAAATATATATATTTTTTTTACCTTACCTGAAGCTAATTATACATGTACATATAATTTTAACAAAATAAGACATATTTTTTGTTAGCACTAGTGATTTTCATCAGTTGCTTATTTATATAATTTATCTTCAGCAATCTACCCCAGTTGTAAATGGGGTTACAAAACAAGTTGCCTGGGTTTCTCCTTTTCAACAGTAAAAACTACCCTTACTCAAGCAGAAACTCCCATCCCTTCATTCTGGTTGTCCCACTGTGTATTGCCTATTTTTTTGATTTATTAATCTGTGATCAGTCTGAATATTGACCACTGGAAAACAATAATCAATCAAACTACGTCAATTACGCACAAATTCTTTTTTTTACAAAGAACATGTTATTCAGTGGTAAAAAAGTCCCATACAAGAATGGAAAAATACCACACATACTAATAAACAGCTAAGAAGTTAGATATTACCCAATACATTTTATTTTGAAGAGTGCTTAGAAGTGTGAAACAATGATCTGTGGTTTACACATACTTTCAGAAAGCTAAGAACTTTGTGACATCCCCTGTGTTATACTATTCTGTACAAAGATAAAACCTAGGTTACAATCCCTGCTACATACTAAGTTGGAGAAGGCTAAAAACTGGAAGATAACTACAATCCCTGCTTCATACTTACTTGGAGAAGGCTAAGAACTGGAAGATAATTTCATTACATTGTAATGTATCTTGTTCCTCTTTGACTAAGTCTATCTGTACTGGTACATTAGGATCTATAACTTCTGGTGGCTCCTTATTACGATCCAGAATTGGATGGAAACCAGCTGAGTAAAGTCTGGCATAGGCTGCTCTAGACAGTCCTTGGGCTCTAAAATAAATAAATATAAAGATGAAACAGTAAAATATTCGAACCCAAATACTTGTCTACTCCTCAAACTAATATCGAGCATACATGCAGACTAAGAAATCTCTTCTGAATCAGACATTCAAAGAAAAGACAATAGCTAAGCCTTTTATTTAGCATTAAAAATAATATGAACAAACTGTATTAAAATTTACTTGTATAACAGCTTAATTTTATTTTTTTTTACTCTACCTTAAATTTTTCTGAGATGTGAATTAGTACTTTGGTAAATAAAATAATAGAACAATTCAAACTTATCTGTTGACAAAATCAGAACAAATTTAACCACATGGACATATTCTAATATCTTTAAAGTTAACTTTTTTTTCATTTTCACATTTTAGAATGAAAAACATTAGAGGTAACTGTTGTCATTTGAAATATGGTAAATGAGTACTGTAAACAGACTTATTTTATTTCATGTTTAGATCTTTCTAGTCTCTTTATTAGCAATTTATTGTTGCAATTTCTAATTTTCATGATGTATTTATATAAGGGAAGATTCTCTAAATTTATTACATATTTCTAATGATTTATATTCCTGTTAATTTTCTACTCACGAAAGTTGTGAAAAAATTTGCTCACAAAAATAAATTGTATAGTATCACATGACTTAACAGCTAATATTACCTGTCTGGCTGTGGAAGAGGCATCATTATAGGAGTATGGGTAGGACGGAATACCTGCTCACTTATTTCTGGATGAGGTGGTGGGATTGACGGCTGAAAATATACATATAAATATCTTAAATCACATTACTAAATTTATAAATATCTATGTATGATTATTTGAACAGTATAAAATTATTTTATAAACATATGTGAACAATATGTGAATCTACTAAAACTTCCTGAAACTAAATATAAGAATTCTAATGCAGTCGTCTTTATGTCATACTGAATAGTTTCTAAAATAACGACCATTGCATCCTTCAAATTCTTGCTTGAAATTATTCAAATTTATCAAGAAAGAAAAACATCTTTTTAACTTTCCATCATTTTTCCTTATAAAATCTGCTAATGGTATGCTTGTATAACAAAAAGTATTTTCATTGAAATGATCAGCGACTCTTTACACCAAAAAATCTTAAGTTATACTGAAATGTATATGATTTGAGAGGATTCTCACTCATATGATTTTTTGTGAAAAAGGCAGCAGACCATGAACTGACTTGTATGTGACTTTAGAAGTAATGTTGAATACCAACCTGTCTGTGACTAATATCATAGGCTGGGCCTTGCATCATTGGCATATATGTATGGGGTGCCATTCCATACATTGGTGGCATCTGTGGCATCTGTGGTTGATAGCCTTGAGGGTAGTATGTCTGTGGCATCTGGATTTGTGGCACCTGTAGGGAGTGAGGTCCAGCAAATGATCTATAAGATAATAAGTGTTTCTAAATAAGTCATCATACATGTAGATGTTGTTTATCATTTGAAACTAAATGGAAGGCAAAATATTCAACTAGTCAACCAAAAACTTTTGTAATTAGAACAACTTTTCTTAATTTGATTAGTAATTTATTCAAATGATGTATATTGTTTAATAAAAAAGACAAAATTGTATCTTTGTTTTTATAAATGCATTCTATCAATTTGAGTGATATATATATGCATCGTACAGCCTAACTTATCTCTTAGAACCCAGTATAACATTTGCTGATTAGCTTTTGTGGGTTTCTAGCTCCATTCCATATCTTGCTTTTATTTATATGAGGATAAATTCAAAATTAGTTCAAAAATAATTTTGGTAGGAAAAGTGTCATATTTTTTTCAAATTTTACTAGCTGTAAATAAACTTTTACTATACAACCTTGCTATATATATTAGAATCTTTTCAAACTTTTTTTACCTTCAGCGTGTTATAACTTATTTTACCTTCAGCATGTTTAAAGATCCCAGCATTGTACAGAATGCTATACATGCCTTTTTGTTGAGTTGTACATGATGTGCTCACAAGATAAAAGATTTATCAAATGAGATATGAATTGACTGATAGGTGACCAGGTAAACAACTAATGATATCTACTGATGATGGCATGAAGTCTCTCAAGTGAATATGTGAAAAATTAAATGAAATGTGAAAATGAAATGATAAAAGTCCATAGCATTGTTTATACACTAAATGAATACGTAAATAAACTGTTATCACAGAGATATGTCTCGCCTTTTTGTAATTTTGATAATGCAAATGTTGAAATTAAAATAGAAATACTTTAACACATAAGTAATGCAAATATTCAAAGTGGATGAACCATGACTGAAGGTACATAGCTAAACAATCAATGAACTATGACTGAAGGTACATGGCAAAACCATTTCCATGGAAATGAGATGTGCCAATGCTAATCCATCTACATACCAAATACCATAGACTTATCATAAGTCGTTCCTTTTCAACAAACCTAAACACAAACATTGACTTGTAAACTATGTAAAAGTTTCAAAGTCAATGAACCATGATGAGGGGAGGGGCTATATAATCTCCATGGAAACGAGACTTGCAAATGCCAATAAATTTGCATACCAAATATCATTGACTTAACATTAGCAGTTCATCTTAAACTGATCTAATCACAAACTAATACATGTAAACTAAGCAAAAGTTTCATAGTCAATAGACCATGACTGCGGGGGTGGGACCAAACATTCTCCATGGAAGTGAGATATGCCAATGCTTATACAACTGCATACCAAATATCATTGACTTACCACTAGTGGTTCCCCTTGAACTGACCTAATCACAAACTAATACATGTAAACTAAGCAAAAGTTTTAAAGTCAATAGACCATGACTGAGGGGGAGGAGCCAAATAATCTCCATGGAAATGTGATACTCCAATGCTTATACAACTGCATGCCAAATATCATTGACTTATCACTAGTGGTTCCCCATAAACTGACCTAATCACAAACTAATACATTGTTGAAGCCGCCAACGCCGTCGCCAGAAACAGCATACCTATGTCTCGCTTTTTGACCCCGTCAAGGCGAGACAATAAAAAATGATAAAGTTCTTATACTCAAATTATGAAATAACATAATAACTACCAGGCCTTGCGGTTATAAAACTTTCGAGCAAGATTTTCGTACTCAGACTCGGAAATCAACCAATCAAAATCCTGGATTTGGTGTTTCGAGCACAAATTTTGTACTCCGAGTACTGAGTAAAATTTTATGACCGAGAGCCCTGAAATTCAATGAAAAGTTACATCAGAATAATGCAAATATCTTATAATGAAATTAATGAAAAATAAATGACATTGTTTCGATTAATCAAATAACATTCACCAGCAAACTAAGATACCTATGAACAATGTTTATGAATGGCCTGCATGATGTATGGTGTAGATTCAGTGTGTAATTTCTACACATAATGTACACATACAATTGGTGTAGTGTGTAATTACTGCCAGATCAATCAGGCAGTAATTACACACCAAACCACACCAACTTTATGTGTACATTATGTGTAATTACTGCCAGATCAATCTGAAATCATCAATGGTTTCAACGATAAGTTTATATGGTTTTAACTTTTTAAATTATAGTTTGTAGTTATATAAATACCAACCAATCAGTGATAATTAGCTTCAAAATTTATGTAAGACATTGTTGAATATTTTCTATTTTTAATAAATATATAACTTAAGGGTGCAATCAACAGTTTTTTTCGATGACGTCATATTTTGAGGGACCATGCATATGTGACCCTTAGTGGTGGAATGGTTAATAAAGATACTTGTATAAAACTAGATATCACTGGAATCAGAATTTTCTCTAGTTTATAATGAAATGAAAATAAAGTGTACTTTTAATATAATAAAAAAGTTCTTTTCAGAGAACATGGGGGGAAAACTGCCTAATCTGAACATAAAAAACCTGAAATCAGGTCATGTGCATACCCATGTAGACATGATGCAGGCACATTTCACATAATCAAAACTGTATGAAATTCATACGTTTTTACCTGGCCTTTCAAAAAAATCTCCCTTCAGGGTACGGTTTCCTGCTTCGAAAAGAGCTACAGTGGCTGCAAATAAGTTTTCAATTTTCACTGCCAAAAAAACAGGATGTTTACAGTGTTGTCTCCCCTCAAAACATGTATTTAATCTAATTTTTTAAATTATTTTAATCATTCAACCTGTTTTAATTGAAAGCTAATTAACTATTTTTTACAATCAAATACAAAAAACATGATACTTTTTCACCAATTAAGTAAATAAAAAGGGATTTCCCTCCATGGTTATTTTTAGTTGGGGAATAACCCCTAGTTTTTTATACGAAACTGTTTATAGCACCCTAAATACTTTATTTGACCATAATAAACACCTCACCAAAATTCCAGAATAACCCTTGAAACCATTGTGAGTAGGGCAGACACTAAGTGTGACAAATACACATGTAAAATTACCATAAATTAAATAAATAAACAATGATTAAGGTGAAAGCATGATAGGTGAGGGATGCGTGAACAACAAACAAGAGCCTTCTCATGTGAAGTAAATGTCAACACCTTATACAAAGGTAACACATGTGTATGTAAATCACAAACCTTACAAATGTAAAACATACATGTACATGTACAGAGTTAATGACTTGGCTGTACACAGAACTGTGAGGCATAAAATTGCATTTTCTGTGTTCATGGGATAATAAGTGATCAAGTGTATGTGTAAGCTAGTATGTGAAATGACGTGTTTTTACATAATGGAGATAAGATTGTCAAAAAGCTGATCCATGGTCAACACAAATGAGGTTTTGCCAGAATTATTTATTGTGAATAGAAAGAAATATGATTACTTCCCCTTATTAACAAGTTATTAAGTTTTGTCATGAACATTAACTGAATACTATTCTTTGTACCAAAACAAAAGAACATGTTTATTTCTACCACTTTTTTCTATCAAAACCTGAAAAAATAAACTATTTCACAAAATTGTTGATTTCTTGTTGGAACTGGGAGTATTCTAAATAATTCTGACATAAGGTTTAAAAAAACATTTGTTGAGCAACATCAGACAACTCTGTTACATGCTTGTGAAAGAATTTGTTTGTGAGAAGGGAGGCCATCTTACTCTCCGAGATGTGATCCTTTTGTTGTATCACTGGACCAACTTGTATGTCTACCCCCACTGTAAATGATTCATAAGATTTTACAAAATAAATAAAAATAATCAGTCAATTTTCAAATATAATGCTCTCATTATATGCCATGACAGTCTATTCATACCTGTATTTTTAACCTTATTTTAAAATTTTTCCTTGAATTATTTAAAAAAGAAATTCCAAATGACTACTGATGAGGACACATGAGAGTATTGTGTCTTCTGAAACCAAATATCAAAAGTCAAACTTATACTATATGAAAGTAAATTGAAAAAAAAACCTTATGTAAAACAACATTTACCCGAAATTCATTTTCACTGTATCCAAAACTTTCCTTCTTTGTATTCAACAATTAATTTAACATAATAAAACTTCCCATATAATACTTTTCCAAATTTAAACTTTTATTGACAAACTGTCATACGTAAACAAATATACCTGTACAACTTTAACATAATTAGCTTAAGTGATCACAACTTTCAAAACTTTTTTAGTTATTTTTAATTCTAGCAAAATAAAAATAAACAATTAACAAACTGATTTTATTGACATGAATCATCATACATAATCCAGCTTTTAGCCGGTAAAATGTTAAAAAATAAGCTGCTATAAACAAAACTCTCCATTGATTTATACCTTGTTTCCCAAAGAATTAGTTACTGGTTTCACATTAAAATATTCAAATTATTTGTTTTTAATTGATATTCCTCCACCACATTGTTTCAGAAACTTAATTTTACTTATTCCTCTCATTTGATGCATGCAAAAATGCAATTTATGGTTAACATAAAAAAACATGCATTTAAAAAAGCAAACATGTTAATGTATTTTGTTTATACTCTAGCAATGCAAGTAAACACAAAGTTCTATGTCTGCTATAAAGAGTCTGTTCATTCAATTATATTTTAGATTCACTTTTCTATTATTTTCGTTTTTTTTTAATTATTTTTTTTCTTTCTCCATATTTTTTAGGGGGTGGCAAAATATCATTTTATATATTGAATGAACAAACTACAAAACAAACATACACACAAACAACCTTACCCTTTCCTTTCTTTTACTTCCCTAAATTTACAGGATAAACTATGCAATATTCCATTTTAATTTCTCTGACTGATGTATATACAATTGAAATGTTAAATTTTGTAAGATGCCCAAACAAATTTTTTTAAGCAAAAACCTATATCATGCCTCATTTAACAATAAATTTTGTCTACTATAAATGGTTTTACAATGGTAAAAAAACCTCATGACTTCAACCTCATTGTATGGTTAAATCAAGATGCATATTTCTTGCTTGATTGTTGTGAATATACCAATATCTAATCCTTTTGTTGCACCTTAAACTTACATACAGAAACTAAGTAAAACAAAACATCACTTCCAAACACTAGATACATATGTACTACCCATGCTAATCTGATTAATAAATGTCATTCACCAAATGATAATGAATCTATTCAATAAAGCCATTGGACTGAAAAGGAACTTTGCATTTCCTGGTTGAAATATACATTTTTTTATCGCTTCTCTGAGTATTTCTTATCGCTTCTTTGAGAGTTTCTTATCAAATGTTTCATGTATTATGCTGAAAATAACCTACCACTTTTAGCGAAAAAACTGACTATGTCAGGAAGTGCCACGTTTTGCTCATTTTTTGTGTGAGGAACAGAAGCAAATAATTAATTCTGATACAAACAATGTATTACGTTTAATAGGGTTTCAATTTTCATAAATATTGTCACCAGGAAAAATTCGGTGTATGTTCTCTAATCAGACCTCATTGTCATCCAATTCATAATTTTGTTTATGCACTGACTTCACAACAAAGTAATGGAGATACTTTATCAGTTTTGAGTTATCTCCCTTATTTAGGACTTATCTCCCTTATTGATATTATAAATAATTTTTTCTAACCTATTAAGCGAAGTATTTTAAACTTAATATCTACAGGCAGACATAAGCTTACTCTTTAGGTATTTAAGCAATAAGGTGTCCTGATTCTAACAGTATTTTTTTTTATATATATACATTTCTGCTGCAAGTCAAGTTTTTGTTTAGGAATTCTATAAATGAGAATGTGTTTTTTTTTTTCTACTTTATAATACTTCTAGATTATTTTTTGTCCTGTCTTATACAAATTGATAGTATGGTATTTTAAAATTTATTGCCAGAAAATTATTTTTGTTAAGTTGCTACATTTTAAAACTTATTGCTGGAAAAAACTGAAAAAAATTTGAATCTTTTTAAAAGTTATTATGTATGTGTAAGTTCCTTGTAACAATACAAATGGTCATTTATACTCTGGACTATTATTCTGATTTCAATTTCTAGAAGAAAATAACTCATAGCTGTTACTTCTACATAGTAATTCAATGTGAGTCAAATAGTTCATCACTAAACAGAGAGTGATTAATATAATATGCTCTGATTCCAAACTATAATGAAATGCAGTAACTAACTAACCGATGAAGTAACTAACTAACCAATGGTAACCAATGCATTAACCTCATGAAAAATGATATTCCATGCAAAGTAATAAAATATACATGGGAAAAACAAACAACTTTACCCTGGCCAAAATCTGTATAAAAATACATTTCAAGTTATTTTTATTTACTGATTACTGTTCGAATGTTCTTGAATTCTGATCTTATTCTGGTTCATAATTTTAAATATATAAACCATAAAATTATAATTCTTTTGATATAACATTAACTTTTACTGTACAGCTGTTGTAAAAAATTTTGTTTACCTATATAATAGCAAAGTCAACCTTAGCCAGATTTAGCTCAAGTTTTTAAATTTTTTTGAAGATCTTAAACTTTGTAATTGACTTGGCCTTCAAACTGCTTCGATTTGAGCACAACAAATGACTCTTATATATATGAAACATGCATCTGGCGTGAATCCCAGAGAGTAAAAGTAAATTTTAAAAGTCTTATTATTGACAAAGTCCTAGCATTGTCAAATGCATAATTTCACTGCATGTACCGGTACTTAAAAAATAATGGGCTGAAATGCATTAAAAGAAACCTACTTCACTCTCCCTGATGGTGGCCTCTTGCTGCTATCTGGACTGGGTAATGCCTCACTTCCATCGTCACTTCTCACTGACGGCATAGACCCTGGTAAAAAGTGTGGGGCTCCCATGGGCACCTGCAAGGACTGGCCATCCTGTTGAAAATATAAATTATATGTACATGATAACTTCTATTCATTGATGATTTTCGTTTAATTCATACCTGCCAACCTCTGAAACCTTCAAAGAGGGAGATCTCCCCCTCAGCTATGACAACTGAGGAGGAGATTTTGCGCAAATGACATTTTCAAGTTAAATATATGACCTGTTTACTTATTCATCTACAAAACACCAATAAGAGTTGATAAATATACTTTATTTCTTCAATTCATGGTTATAATATATCAGGGCTCACACTACTTCAGAATCATAGGGAGAAGTGACTTCTCTTTTTGAAACTGATAGGGAGAAGTGGTGAGATTTGAAAGAGAAGTGCTTATTCGCTCACGGCGCTACAATGTTTTATAAAGGGCCATATGTATCTTATTTTCTTTTTATATTGTTCAATTCATATAGATCTGAGTATACGATAAAGTAACAGTTCAAATTCAAAGTTGTTTAAGTTTATCACATCTAATTGCACAATTATATTAGTCCTCTTGTCAGAAACTACCTACTAAATATCTAGCACTAAAAAGATTTTTTTTTATATCAAAAAAGAAAAGAAAGTATAATATATGAATTACAATTCGATTAAAAAACTATTTTGTTTATCATGTTTATGAAATTCAGTGTTTCTCATTAAAAAGATATATAAATTTAACAAAGTTAAGCTGGGACATAATATATTTTTATTAGTGTAATAGTCCCAGAGTGAAGCAACTTTAATCAATAAATTGAAACAATGCATATACACTGAAATATATACATTAATCAAGCAGATCTAACCAAAAGTCTGTTTATGCATGTGGAATGGGTAAATCTTCTGTCCGTTGTGCCATTTGTGCGTCTGTAGTTATTAACGTAAGAAAACGGATTTCGGTCATAGCTCGTCCGTTTCGGATGAATCCTGCCTTCTATCTGTAGTTGGTACTAATATTTCAATGGCGGACGAAAAATATTTACAAAAATAAACGATGTTTGACAAGCTATTTGGAAAGGAATATGACGTTTCTAATGCAATAAATGGATTATACATTTACCGAAGGCAACTTTCATCACATTCTAATGAAGTAACAAACTTATTTTGCCGAAAATTAGAATGATTTGATGTACGCTCTCGAGTAACAAGAACCGGACGTGATAAAAAAATTGTCTTTATGAAATAACACACAACAAACTGTAAATTCAACGCTTTAACTTCTTTTCTGAAGAAAATAAATCATTTATGTCTTTTAATTTCTTTACTTATAAATGAAAAATTGATGTTTCATCGACTTGGTAAAAATTGAAAATTGCCGATGACGAAAGCAACTGAAAGCGAGTATGGTGAACAACAGGGCGACTAGATTCGCTTTTGATGGTCGGGCAAAGTGAAGTGATGGACGCGAAAGCGACTTTATCGCCCCAGTTGCTTGCAAGCGTGAGCCTTGATATATACAAGGTGTTTTTTTTTGTTGACCTTTTTCAATACCTCTGAGTCTCATAACTCATAACATTCCATATATTGATTTTGTTGTGAGTCTCACACTAAGCATGCTTTCAAACGTCGTACAGACCATCAGAAGAAACCCAAAAAGTTGAATGAACATGATGTGCAAAATGAAGATTCATTGCCAAGTGAACTTGGTCATAAAAATTGAAAATCTTTCATTCAGTCTGCTTAATATTTCGTTTTGCAGTTTTCTATTTCTTCTTTTTAAAACTGCCTATTGGTCCAGACAAAGACCTCTATCTTGTTGGAGTTGACCTAACAGAAATGAATTTCGATTACTTATAAATCGAACACAAAAAATACTGACCAAAGTTTTTAAATGATTGCCGATTGTTTATTTATTTCTATTGACAGTAATGAAAAAACCAGAGAACTACAAACAAGAGTCATTCCAGGTAAAAATATCCGAAAGCGAGAGCAGACCAGCAAGCTGGAGATTTCCGGAACTTCTTCGTTTGCACAGAAGACTCCCGCTCAAAACAGGAGGTTGGCAGGTATGTAATTCAATTTATATGGATGACCATAATTAAAAATAAGAATATTATGAGTTTCAAAGCATTTATCATAATGTAATAACCAACACAGAATAAATTGTATCATATATGTAATCACAATTTAAAGAATGCTGAGAATTCAACAGCAACAATTAAGCATTGATAATTCATTTCAGGTATTTAAGGTAAATCTGGGCTGCATTCAAAATTGTAGGCACCATATAGGGCTATTTAGATTTTAACTTCTAAACTTATAGCTAGCCGAGTGCTAAATAGATAAATAGATCAAGATGGCAAATAATATTCATTCTATCTAGAGACTTTAAAGGTAACGTCAGATAGGTTATTACTTTTGATGTCATTTTGATAAGATAGCTACGTAACATATTGTTCAACATGGAAAGGTATCTAGGAGATAGCGTCTATGCTATTAAATGTAACCAGATTTATCTTAAAACTGCAATACCAACCATTGAGCATTTCCAGTAGAAGTTAATAGATCCACCAGCATGTTTCCCAGCATCAGCGTCTTGCATTTTAGTATCTGGTAGTTTATAAGTTAGATCATCGTTGGGATTAGGGACAGCTCCACCCATCAATGATATACTAATATTCTCCTGGTTAGGATGTAGGAACGGATTCCAGGCACACCAACGTAGTGCTACAATACGAGAATTACCTCTGCTGAGGCTACTATACATCTGAAAGAGAACAATGGAGAGGTGAAGGTTAATATTTATTTTAACTGACTGTGTAAAACTTTGTTTATTTGTTAAAGTATTCAAGATCAGCTGATCTACATGTATAAGTATTATTACAATGTGGGTTTTCACAGAATTTCAATCTTACAATTTCTCGAAATTAACCTGTTGGCGAGGTTTCATTTTTGCAATCAATTTTTGATCCTAGTTCTGATCTTCAGTAAAGGTAAACTTAAGGCAATGAGAACATTTTTGCAATGTATTTTTAATTGCCAAAATAAGCGGTTGCATTTATAATGTTATTTTTTCTTTAGGAAATTTTGTTGCAGAGCTTTGATAAAAATTGAATTGGCTAACAACAATTTCAGACTTGGAGCAATTTAGATCTTGACATATTTGATTGACACCTGTTTATTGATGAAGTTTATCCTACATCACCTTTTATTCATAGCTATTGATGGAATTACCTTTCTTTCCTCCTGAGAGATAGGTTCACCAATAACATACTCCAATGTAAACACCAGTGACAACATAGGATCTTCCAATAACTCACAAATCTCTAATCTGTTCTTTAACACAAGCATTGTACCTTGACCATGTTGACTGCAAAGGAAATTATCATAATGAATAACACTACACAATTGTACACAATGATTACAGTTCATCACAATGACATTCTTCATGTGTATACACAAATAGTAGGGTGCCCAGTGTCCAAAAAGTCCTCTAGTTAACAAGTTTAAGTTAACAGATAACACACAGCTATTTTTGTTTGCAAATTATAGGAAAATCATTATATTTTACAATCATGATTGTCGTTGTAAGTTTCCATGGTCACGATTTTCTAAATTTCTGAAGAAATTAGCAATTAAAAACACAAATTAAGTCAACATTTTGGCAAAGATTAAACATGGGTTATCCCGTGACATCAATCATTTTGTTGCTTACACTATTAGGTCATTAACAAGGACAGTGGTCACTCATTACATTTCTCATTTTTGCTTGTTGTGTGGTTGATTCATTTGTTTTGAATAGCCAGCTAACTTTGTAAATTATTATTTTCTTCGGACGAATATGTTTTTGTCTGTTTTTTAATACTTTCAACTATCTATTGATAAGATATGTTTGTTATAATTGTAGTATAAGAATCAAATCGATCAGTTTCGTAACACATCCCGAATATGGCACATCAAGTCTATGTTATGGTCTTGCATGATGTTTTGGACCTAAACCCCCCTTGGTGTGAAAGACAACAAAAATGATCACTTGTATTGAATCTTATGAAAAAATTCTGAATTTGGAAATTTTAATAGGTCAAGGTCAGTGCTGTTTAACAGCTGAATGATAATTGTAAATGTACACCCTAATTAGTACAAATGTCAATCTCGAACCATATTTGGCAACATAAATATCAAATTAGTCATAACTATAGAAACTATAGTTATAATACTTTGAATTATTCAAATTTATTTTGCTATAAACGCATATATGTAAGGGCGAACAGCTGTCTAAACATGACTCTGCATTTTCCTTAAAATTTTAGCTTTGACCTTTGACCCAAATTTACGAAAATTGTGACCACTGTAGACAACGACGACATCAATATTTTGATGAGGCTTGTTCTCCTCTTTCCAATGATATCAAATACAGCCGTGCGTTATTTCGTTAACCCAAATCGATAAAATTTGTTGACTGCGCACCCTACTAAACTACAAGTATTTATTGGGAACCATCTATTTTCTGTCCTAAATTTTGTCTTCTGACATTTATAATAAGACTGCTTTTCTATTTCAAAAACATATAAACTGGGGTTGAAAGGAAATACGGAATATTTTTTTGAGGGCTATTGCATATATAACTTATCCTTTGAATGAAATTTTTGTATGTTGATAGGGATATGAGAAAACTGACATTCCGCTCTTTAGATGTCAAATATTTGATCTCTGAAATTTTTTTAAAGATGCATACATCTCTTACTGGCTGTCTTTATGTTTAAAATAAACAGATGTGGTAGGATTGCCAATATGACAACAACCCAACGTACAGAACACTTATTGATATACATGTATATATCACACCGACAAATGTGGTGTGGATTTTTTGTGAGGACATATATTTTTCAATCCTAATGGACTGTTTTATAAGTTTTAAAAACACATTTCAATGAGTTTTTTTATGCAAATGAAATTAAAACATTTATTCAAGAGAAATGATTTATTAATCTACCATACCTAACAGCCCCATTTAATGATCTGACTGAAGTTGACATGTATTTCTGACTTCTTCTCATACTAGGACTAGCCTGTGGTTTCAGTACTTTGTTCCCCTCACTCCATACATCCAAGTGATGAAGTTCTGGTTTGGACAAATAACACCAACCATTGTGTACCCCTATCTGTTAAATAATGATGTATATAATATTTTAGGTGTTATATCAAGTTTTTGAAACCAATATTTTTTTTTGTTGTGTATATTTTATGCAACTTGCAAATTTTGCAGTTTGAAAATACAGTATGTCATAAACTATACCTGCAAGGTTTAAATCTTTACAAATTAAAGCACAATTCCACAAAGTTCATGTTCTTGCCTTAACACTATTTGAAATAAATATGACTGATTTAAAGGCAAAACACAAAACTCTTCATAAAAGAATTTTTTCTTGAACAAAATGATTGTAAACTAACAGGAACAGTACATACAAGGTAACATGATATAAATAAATAAGATCAGTGTTAACAAATTTTGTATGTGCATCCTTAGTCACCAATACAAAACTGAGGTTTTTAATACTGTAAATTCAGAAAATATTGCAATGTTTTTAGTGATGCAAAAAATGCGACAGTATCAGGTTTTGCAATACTAAAAAAACTTTTATTCAAAGTTTCAGGAGTGATTTATCTTCATAAGATTTTTGCAATCATGTTAACTAGATTTAGCATTATTGTCAGTTGTCAATGGTTGCAATAATAGATGTATGCATTAATTTCTGAATTTACAGTACTTTCTTACTAAAGAATATTTGAGACATTATTATGTAAAAGTTACAGCTGTCCTTTCTAAAATAAGTTTCTGTGTAATGAATTTTCAAGCTGGTGAATTTTACTTTTTTAAATCATTCAAAGTTGATATTTGATGTTACAAATTTTAAAATGTCTTCATATGCACCATATCTCAAGGGGAATAAAAAATAAAGAAGGTATTACCAAAAGTCTCCTTTCTACAATAGAAACATTTGTTCCTGTTTGACGATTTTCTCTGTGTCTTCGATCTTCACTCAACAGGGCACATAATTCATCTTCAAACTTCTCTACAGATGGCGGGAGGTGAATGTTCAATGCTTCAATAGTAGCTATAACCTGTCTATGTAACTTGGCTTTCTTCATTCTATCTTTCCCTGTTATTATACATAGTTATAGAGATGGATTTGTTCATACTTACGAACAGAAATTGAGTACATGAATGATAGTAATGTATCTGCCCTGGAGGACAAAACTGGTTAAAATTTATTCCCTTCAAATAATCTTCTTTAAAGAAGGTTGATACAATGTTAAAAGTATCAGAATGTTCTTGATCTCAGAATTTTAATAATTATAGACATTACCATTCACTTGTTTTGATACATAAGTATTAATGGAGTAGGTTTGACAAAACCCAGATGAGGATCCCTATTCCTAAATAAAATTTAAATTAGGACTAAATAGCCATCACAACAATGTATCATAGTTAAAACATTGACTAGACAGGAAATAGGACTGTTGTTTTTCAAAATTTATGTCAGTGTTCTTTTAATGATATCAAAATTAGCATCAAATTTTTCTCTGTAAAATTCAAAGTAAATAGTCCAATTTCCATTGTTTTTAAGAACTAAAAACACATAATGCATTTGTTGACGAAAAAACCTTGAACATTTAATGTCTGTTTATTTCAATTATAGTTCAGTTAAAACTAAGTTTGTAAATGGTTAATGAAAAACGGATTAATAAGAATACTGAACAGTGACAAACTTAAGATTTTATCTTTTACTGACATTTTGTCATATCAAATTTGATCCAATATGAATTTTCAAACAAACATTTTATCAGAAATATTATGAAATATTTTTGTGACCTGAAACATAAAGAATGAATAAATTATTCTATAAACATACCTGGAGTATTACCATCCTGAAGTCCTGGTATGACATCGTTGTTACCCACAATTACATTTTCTGGCATTACAGACATGGCATATAACATGGCTTTGTGTGTGGCTATCGTACATTGTAATACACAGTCTGGTATAGGTTTCAATAAATTGTTTTCTGAAGAAAAAAAAGTCCATATTAAATCATTATTTCAGAGTGGTCACAAAGTCTTTCAAATTATTGATGTTTCCGTATGACAAAAATGCCCTTGTCTGCAAACTGAATGTTAAATGGACCATTCTACATACGAAATGTTGATCTCAAACTTAAATTAAAAAACATTCATTGATGAACTTTTTTCCATAAAACAAGATGTTTCCGTATGACACAATACACTTGTCTGCAGACTAATTGTTAAATGGACCTTTCTACAAATGTTGATCTCAAACTTAAATTTTGCATAAAGATGGTCCACTGGATCTGTAAGTCATAATAATACCCTAATGTACTAAAAACCAGCTCAAGATCTGCAGGCATACAAACACAGTATGGACAAGTACAATTTTCACAGGGAGCTCCATGGATGAAAATTGAATCATGAAGAAAGTTCTTCCAGAAAAACAATCCTGAGTGTCGAGATCGTGCTCGCAAATCAAAACTAAATGTTTTTTAATTTTAGTTCAATTATATGTTTTGGGGTTCAGTTTGACGTCTATTTTCACTGAACTAGTACACATTTTTGTTTAGGGGCCAGCTGAAGCCCGCCTCCGGGTGCAGGATTTCTCGCTGTGTTGAGACCCATTGGTGGCCTTCTTATTTACTGTCTAATCGGACAATAGCAAGTTTATTGTCCTAATACCATTACAAAAGTAAATATTACACACCAATTGATCGCTTCAAACTGACATTTATTAATAATAAGAATTCTAATTAAAAAAAACAAAGATTGTTTTCATCAAGAAGTTTCGTACCCGTTTTTGTAAAATGTTGAATAAAAATTTGTGGGGGGCAATAGTTTAAAACTGTCATGGTTTTGAAGACCTCAATCATTGTTCAGAATATCTTTCTAAAATAATTGCCACCCATCAAATTTAGATAGGAGTGCCTTCCAACCCACAATACCATAAAGTCTGGCACAGCCCTTAGTTGACGGTCCATAAAAATAGAGAGATGTGATTGGATTAAAGTTTGACAATTAATCATCTAGAACCCAAGCACACAAAGTGGTATTTTTTTCTCTCCCTATTGTAGTTTAGCTCTGTGTACTTTATCAACTTTTATGTACCATGAAGTACAGAGAACATTTTATGTAATTGATTCAGTTAATATTACCTTCTAATGGTTCCTCCATAAAATACAAAGCTCTAGGTGAACCATAATACATTTGAATCCTATAAAATAAAATATAAAATAAAATATATAATAAAAGAAATCTAAATCATTTCCCATGAGAAATATCTATGACTACATATTCCTCTCTAGATTTATTTGTTATTCTGTTTTGTTTGATTGCTGTCAAATTGACATTTACCACACTACTCCTTTTATGCATATCGATTCCAATTTTCAGTATCAGTTTTTTTTAAAATACCTGTATATTATCATAAGAGCTGATATATCAAAAAAAAAGTTATGAAATTGGATGTAATATAATGAATTGATCAGTTTTACTATTTGAGTTTTAACCTTTTGAAAGAAAATATCTAATTTTACGGCTAATTATTCTACTGTCATGGAAATTTCAAACAAAGAGAAACTGCTATGTGAAATTGATATATTGATATGCAAAATTTAAAAATTTATAGACAGTGCAAAACTGATGCTATTGCTATCAGTGATATTGGATATTACACAAATAACAAAATCAACTGCAGCTAAATATGATAGTTTATAAGACCTTGTAATACATGTAGCAATGAATATAAAATGTTTGAAAGAAATAGTATTCTTATGTTCTTTACAAACATTTATTTTTTCACTTTGCATGGAATTTGGTGTTTAGGGCATAACTCCTACAAAGTTCCAGCATGCCTTTGTCTCGCTTCTGGGAAACATTTTGACAACAAAATAAAGCTTCTAAAACCAGCTTATGCAAAATTTTCTCATATGCTACTTTTCTGACTACATGACATCACAGTAAAAGTCTGTTTCTATCTAATATTAAAGTTACTAAAGGTTTTATTCATTAGTTTTAAAACTACCTAAAGAAATGAAATTACTTCTTTTTTTTCAATGAATTTTCAGGAACAAATAAGTCCAATATTGTGCTTTCTTCTTAAAAAACCCGATTACAAAACCAATTACATTTAAATGTAGATATTCTCACAGGATTCAATTGTAATGGAAATCACTCTGTAGTTAATAAATAAAACACAATTTTAACAGTTCATATCAGTAATCTATAACTTCCATCTCTCTGATTAAACATTTATCATTAGTTGTCCTTTGAGACAGAAAAGTACAAATCATAATCAAAATTCTCTTTTAAATCACAAGTAAATCTAAATCAATATTTTTGATAATTAAAATTTTTTTTTCTTCATAACTTTTAGTGATTGGAAATTTGTTTATCAAGCTTCCAACATTTTGCTATAACTGAATAATAAATCGGAAACAATATTTCAAATAAGATATCAAAAATAGATGCATACAACGGAATGAATTTAAGCACCTGAAGTCAATTTCATGCACTGTAATATGCCAGCGATAGCTATAACATCCAGATTTTCAAGTTGGCTATACTAAACACTGTAGTCAGTAAATAATTCTAGAAAGAATGGAAATGTACACAGAACAACCTGTAAAACTCAATATTAATACTGGCATATATTGTCATATACATTATACTAATCCACTGACATCTTAAAAACTAGTTTTTACTGTGCTACATTGTCAGGTTACTGTCTTGCCAAGGAACATAGTAAGAGGTTGTATCGTCAATATTACTGTGGATTCATTTTAATTCATGGGATATTTATTTTCAAGGATTTCATGGTTATATGTGAATCACAATATAAATGTTCAACTAAGTGTACATTTTCTATTGGCTTGTATGCGGACTGGCAAAACCAAGAAATCCAATATCCATGAAAATACATTTTTTTCTCAATCCACGAAAATTAGTACCCACGAAAATAAATGAATCCAGAGTTTATTTTTGTCATTTATAATATTAATGTTTTTTATCATTCATTCACACTTTAAAAAGTTCTAATATCTTACTTTTGAACAGGAACTGTACTGGATCTGGAAGAATCTGGTAGCTCTTCATCTGTTTTGAATATCCTAACAATAGTCCAACCACAGGGGTTGTACTTCATGTTGCCATTCTGGTCCATCATTAATGAGATGACCTCTACAATTGCCATGACACCTATACTGTTGATGGAGGTGTGGAAGTATACATTCTGTTCATACAAAATACATAATTCAAAACTTATTTCAAAACAAATTTAATTCAAAACATATTTCATAATTTGTTTCAAAACGCATAAATAAATCACACACAAATTGCATATTTAATTCAAACATGATGTAAATTTTATTTGTTTGTTTTTTGTTTGTAAATCTCCAGCTCAGTTGACTCCAATTTCAGTGAGGTCTAAAAGTCCAAACTAATATAAATAAGAAGATGTGGTATGAGTGCCAATGAGACAACTCTCCATCCAAGTCACAATGTATAAAAAGTAAACAATTATAGGTCAAAGTACGGCTGTACATACCTGATTATACTTTAACTTGGGTTTGTTTTCACCTCCTCCCTGAGCCGTGTGGAGCGGACCCAGCCACTGTCGTCCAAGAAAATTCTTATAGGTGGCATCATAAAGACTAACTCTAACTTGGTATTCAGGCTGTTTTCCTACATCAAGCTGTAAATACATATAAGATGTAGATGTCAATCAAAGCTGACATAGTACTAGTTTTACAGTCATCAAATATAATTTTTTAGAATAGGTATACTGAAAGTTAAACAAAAACATCAGATGATGAACTTTATCTGATGATCTGTCTACTGGAAATCTTTTCTCTCAAATTTCTATTTTGTTCATCTTATCTACAAAATGTATGATATACAGCACTTGTTAACCACCTTTCAAAGGATATTTATACAAGACTTTAAAATAAAGCATAACCCAAGGAGTACATGGTAATTAAATAATAAAGAGATGTGGTAAGATTTCCAATTGTCTGAGACAACTATCTACCAAAGACCAAAAGACAAGGACATTGTTATCATCAATATAAAATCTTTATGTTGATACAGTTTTATTATCCACTAATTCATAACAAGTCTATATAGTGACTGAAGTTTACATATCAGATATATGGTTATATGAAATATTCTCTAATTTATCTGATATTACAAATATTCAATGATATCTTATATTCAGGTATTGCAACCAAGAGTGTTGGACAGAATAGCTCTCGTGTTGCTTCAGCTATAAGGTAAAACAGATGACTGCTGACCAATGTAACTTGTTGCTTCAGCTATAAGGTAAAACAGATGACTGCTGACCAATGTAACTTGTTGCTTCAGCTATAAGGTAAAACAGATGACTGCTGACCAATGTAACTTGTTGCTTCAGCTATAAGGTAAAACAGATGACTGCTGACCAATGTAACTTGTTGCTTCAGCTATAAGGTAAAACAGATGACTGCTGACCAATGTAACTTGTTGCTTCAGCTATAAGGTAAAACAGATGACTGCTGACCAATGTAACTTGTTGCTTCAGCTATAAGGTAAAACAGATGACTGCTGACCAATGTAACTTGTTGCTTCAGCTATAAGGTAAAACAGATGACTGCTGACCAATGTAACTTGTTGCTTCAGCTATAAGGTAAAACAGATGACTGCTGACCAATGTAACTTGTTGCTTCAGCTATAAGGTAAAACAGATGACTGCTGACCAATGTAACTTGTTGCTTCAGCTATAAGGTAAAACAGATGACTGCTGACCAATGTAACTTGTTGCTTCAGCTATAAGGTAAAACAGATGACTGCTGACCAATGTAACTTGTTGCTTCAGCTATAAGGTAAAACAGATGACTGCTGACCAATGTAACTTGTTGCTTCAGCTATAAGGTAAAACAGATGACTGCTGACCAATGTAACTTGTTGCTTCAGCTATAAGGTAAAACAGATGACTGCTGACCAATGTAACTTGTTGCTTCAGCTATAAGGTAAAACAGATGACTGCTGACCAATGTAACTTGTTGCTTCAGCTATAAGGTAAAACAGATGACTGCTGACCAATGTAACTTGTTGCTTCAGCTATAAGGTAAAACAGATGACTGCTGACCAATGTAACTTGTTGCTTCAGCTATAAGGTAAAACAGATGACTGCTGACCAATGTAACTTGTTGCTTCAGCTATAAGGTAAAACAGATGACTGCTGACCAATGTAACTTGTTGCTTCAGCTATAAGGTAAAACAGATGACTGCTGACCAATGTAACTTCCTATGATTATATATATCTGAGCTATTCCTAACTAGATTACCCATACATCAAGGTCTTTAACTGTTAATGAGATACAAGAGACACTAAACAAAATCCTGTTTAATGTAAGATTCTAATATGACGTTACTATTTTGCTTTGTAAACAAAGCCGTGTTCTAAGTAGCACAAAATATGTTTGACACATGCACACAAACTAACTGTTTACAATCTCGTTATTTTCATCTTTATCCTAATAAAATCTATGTATTTTAGTTGCTTGAATAACATTTTATTTTTTATTTACCTTGCTATTAGTTTTTAAACTTATTAAATAGGAAAATGTAATGTACATACTTGATGGGGAGGAAACAGGAACAGCCATACTTTTTTAAGACATTTTCGTATGCTTCGACATATGAAAATACCATATCTGTCCTATTAGAATCGGAATAATTCCTTCATATCATGCTCTATGCTCATTTTAACATGGGTAGGTATCATATTTGACCATATTTTACACCTTGATACACAATGTAATGCTTGGTGTTAACTATTGACAAATATAATGCCTACCTATGTTTAAATGAGCAGAGAGCATGACATGAAGGAATTGATATTTTCTGTTAAAACTTTGATAAATGAACAGATTATGGTCTCATTACTGACAAAACTCATAAATCAAGGTATAATTTTCACAATAGTCATAAGGTTGAAATCAAGTCTTGAAATGTATTTTCTTATCATTTACAATATTTGACATGAATGATATGTTCAATTTCATGTTTTACTACTTTACAACAAGCATGATTAACTAGAGGCTTTAAAGAGCCTGTCAACAATAGACACTCCAACATTGTGGACTAGAATATAATTCATGACTACAATCTCTTTTTTCCTTTTTGTAGTTCAGACTAACAATAACTTCAATAATGAGTGGGCTCATGATTTTGGCTGTATTGACTTATTTGTAGATTTGGTTTTGCTGATCATTTTGTGATTAAAAGTTTCTGTCTATCTATTATATGTTTCAAGATAATAGGCGGGAAAAAAAGGACACAATTCGTCATTTGACGGCAATAACTCCTATAAGAAGTTGCCTGACAGTTTTGATGTAGATGGACAAAAGGTACATTTAGATTTCAACATTCTGAACATTTCTAACCCTGTCAGATTTTCTCTATATCGTCGGTTTTTAAAATAAAAGACAAAACTCCCATCTTACCCCCATGTTTTATTTTTAGTCATGTCAGCCATATTGGCCAGTAGGCAGGAAGATTTTTGTAAAATTCCACAGACAACAGCAACAGAAGACTGACGATAGACACCAAGTGATGAGAACAGTTTTTTTGGCCATAACAAATGTAACTGTGAGACAACAACCTTATGTATAAATGTGAAACACTCCTTATGGATAAATGTGAACCACTAACCTTATGGGTAAATGTGAAACAACAGCATTATGGGTAATGTGAGACATTCACAACAACCTTATGTATAAATGTGAAACACTCCTTATGGATAAATGTGAACCACTAACCTTATGGGTAAATGTGAAACAACAGCATTATGGGTAATGTAAAACATTCACAACAACCTTATGTATAAATGTGAAACACTCCTTATGGATAAATGTGAACCACTAACCTTATGGGTAAATGTGAGACAACAGCATTATGGTTAATGTGAGACACCAACCTTATGTATAAATGTGAAACACTCCTTATGGATAAATTTGAACCACTAACCTTATGGGTAAATGTGAGAAAACAGCATTAAGGGTAATGTGAGACAAACACCTTATGTATAAATGTGAAACACTCCTTATGGATAAATTTGAACCACTAACCTTATGGGTAAATGTGAGAAAACAGCATTATGGGTAATGTGAGACAACAACCTTATGGGAAATGTGAAACACTCCTTATGGATAAATTTGAACCACTAACCTTATGGGTAAATGTGAGAAAACAGTATTATGGGTAATGTGAGACAACAACCTTATGGGAAATGTGAAACACTCCTTATGGATAAATTTGAACCACTAACCTTATGGGTAAATGTGAGAAAACAGCATTATGGGTAATGTGAGACAAGAACCTTATGTATAAATGTGAAACACTCGACCTTATGGATAAATGTGAAACATGTAACCTAATGGGTGAATGTGAGACAACAGCATTATGGGTAATGTGAGACAATTTTAGAACCTTATGTATTAATGTGAAACACTCCTTATGGATAAATGTGAAACACTTACCCTAATGGGTGAATGTGAGACAACAGCATTATGGGTAATGTGAGACAAGAACCTTATGTATAAATGGGAAACACTCCTTGTGGGTAAATGTGAAACACTTAACCTAATGGGTGAATGTGAGACAAGAACCTTATGTATAAATGTGAAACACTTAACCTAATGGGTAAATGTGAGACAACAGCATTATGGGTAATGTGAGACAAGTACCTTATGGGTGGTGTAAAACACCACCCTAATATGGGCAGACAAGTAAAAAACAAATTAATACATAAATTTTTTTTATCTGCGACTGATAATAACACTCATGTAAAAGTTTGAAAACTTGGCTTACCTTAATTTGATAAGGAGGAGTTAATCCATGTATTTGCTTCAATGATATAACAATTGGTATGTTGTCACAATCAGCATGTTTATCTACAGTCGGATCATGCTGTTTCCACAGAAAATTATGTCTTTGTGGTAAACTTCTATGTAAGGTCAAGTATTTCATATTACATTTAATTCTATAGAATGTCAGCCTACAGAATGATCAATCAGTTCTCCACTGTAAGTCCTATAATATGCTGCCTATATCTAGGACTAATACTATTCGTCCCAGTCTATATTTTTACAAATTTGCAAAATGTTCCTACTTTAAACACTAATATTTCTCAACACTGAATATATGTATATTCCTATGCATTATAAATATCAAAATTCTCTGTAATGTATTTTTCTGCACAAACAGAAACATTATCAGCCAGTTAGAATATATTATTTCATGTATAATTTTCTTACAGCTTTTACCTTTCAAATATCATATTTATCAAGCTTATAAGATATATCCTGTAAAATCCGTCAGGTTACCGAATCAATAATTCACAAAGTCACTTTCATTTGAAGTACATTTTCTCTAACTAAACGTCTGATATAACCACAAACTTGTATCACACTATCTATTCAATAAAATCCCTAAGTTATTAAAAATTTTAAACTTCTTGTCCTTTCACCTCATAAATTTAATGATTACCTTAAGACTAATACAACATGAAAATTCAGTGAATGGCCATAAATAAATTATAACTATTCTGGATGACATCCAAAACCATCTTTTTTAACTTCCAGTAGATAAATGAATATATAATACTATCAATATAGACTGTACATATTTCAGTATCTGTATCATAATAATTGTCATTTTTATCCAATATTTTGAAGTCTTTAAATTACAGCATTCAAAAATAAAATTGATGATTTTGATTTTTTTTCAATAATTGGATTTTTTTGGGGTTCCTAAAACTTCAACAATATCTACACAATAGCTCAATTATTGATAGTCACTTTAGAATCAAATTTCAATGGTAAATATTATCTTTAAACATGTTTTTGTATATAACATTTTTATATTTAATATTTCATCTACAAAATTCTTTTAACCCATAATTAAATGGTGTAAAGGTGAAAAAATATATGCAGGTATTTAGCGTTCTTATTTATATCATTTTAAATATTTATTGTTGATCAATTAACCAAAACTATTGAGATTAAATATTTCTAAAATTTAACGTGACATTTAAATGTTTTCGCTGATCCTGCTTATTTGATATTGTAAATATGTACTTAAATTGAAAAAAAGTACCCCAAAATGAATAACTTCAAATGCAATTTTCTGTCAATTCACAAAAATTGACACAAAATAATTTCTCTCGTTAGGCACTTGAAATTAAATATTAAGTCAAAAAGATGAAAATTGGTTAGCACACAGAACAATTTTCATCTCACATGTAAACTATTTGTACTGCTAAATCACAATATAATAATCAATGACAGGTGATAGATCTATAAATAGTATAAACTTTCATATAATGACAAAGTAGAAGACAAATTATCTCATATGTAACATCAACATGATCTAACTATTGATTTTCACATCATAGACACAGAGGTGTTGATGAGCTTGGATAATTAAAAAAATGACTGGAAATTTCCTATCCAGATCACATACATGTGTAAAGTTCAAATGAATTTGTTAATGTTATGCAAGGCATTCTTACTTTCCAGTTCTATGTACAAGTAAATGTATGAATGCATTTGTGAATACTGTATATTTCCATGCCCATGAAAGGTGATTCAAAACCTAGGCTTTTTTAAATACAACAATTTGATGGTATTTATATATCAACCTTTTTTTTTGTCAACTTTGATCATTCATGTAATATGACATGACTTTTAAGTTCTATCTAAAGATATAATTAAACGATCAAAATCTGCCGATAATACCATGGTAAACAGTAAATATTTATCACCTGATCAAGTCAGGAAAATTTATAGTCCCTCCAGTTTTTAACAGTAATCAATCTGTAAGTTGTTATTAAAATTCATAATAAATTAATTGTATAAAATTTTAAAAGAGGCGTTTAACTAACCACAAACAAATATTTATTAATCACAATAAGGTATGATAAGGCTACTTCTTTGGTCCCTTGAATTCATAAACCATAAAGTATTATTCATCTATCAAATAACATACTTCCAATGTTTATACAAGGTTTTACTCTGATGGTTATCAGTATTTATACTTTGAATTTTGTAAGTACATTTATCTATTTATGTTAAAACCTCCATCTTCTTGCATTTAATAGTCAGGGGTGTGACTTAAATCTATTTGTGTTATAACCTCAAACTTCTTGCATTTAATAGTCAGGGGTATGACTTAAACAATTATTAGATTATCACTTATTTTAGCAATTTGAAAATTTCGGTAATTATAAAAAGAAGATGTGGTATGATTGCCAATGAGACAACTCTCCACAAGAGACCAAATGACACAGAAATTAACAACTATAGGTCACTGTACTGCCTTCAACAATGAGCAAAGCCCATACCACATAGTCAGCTATAAAAGGCCCTGAAATTACAAATGTAAAACAATTCAAACGAGAAAACTAACGGCCTGATTTATGTACAAAATAATGAACAAAAAACAAATATGTTACACAGCAACATACAACAACCACTGAATTACAGGCTCCCGACTTGGGACAGGCACATACAGAATATGGCGGGGTAAAACTAGTTTGGAGGCGCCTACCCTCCCCCTTACCTTGGACAGTGGTGTAACAGTACAACATAAGAACAAACTATAATAAATTGATTCGCCAAGCGCAGCTGGATACCATCGCAGAGTTCCAACCCTGAACAGTTGGGGCAAAATTGGACACAATATTTGCACTTGATACAGGTCTGAATTTGGATTGTAATTAAATGTTTGACACATAATAGGTTTCTGACACGGAATAACTGTAGTCAAAGAACTTAGAATTTGTTATATGATTTGAATTTATATTCAATTTCTTGCTTTTGTGCAATACACTGTGCTGTTGCGCAATACTTAGTAAATCTGTTTTCAGAATACATGTATATACAAAGAATTAGCAATTGTGACACACAATTTTTCTTTGGAAAATTGACAATTTCTTAAATCTTGAAGAAAAATTGACCCCCAAAAAATTATTTTGTTATTTTTTACACCCCCCCCCCCCCCCCATATTTATTTTTTTAACATCTTTTTTGGTCATTTGGTCCGAGTACACAGTTATCGTCCTTTGATTTTCGTTGTCCACAAATATAGTCCCTAGTGTGGACAGTGTGTTACTTGCCATTTTTTTTATACCCCTTCCAAATTTATTTCTCCATGTTTTATGCCTCAAATAGCAAGCAGGGGGATGAAATTACACTGTAAAAAAATTTGGGTCATGAATTTTAAAGTTAAGTAGTGATTTGGTCCAGCTGAAAAAGGTTAAAAATAAGCACTTCGGAAGCTGTCAAAAGATTTCAAGACCCCCTTAACATAAAATTGTCCATATTTTGAGTTAGAGCCGATGAAGTTTTCCATAATTTTGATATAATTTGTCCCAAAAGTAGTACAACACACTGTAAAAATATTATTGAGAAAGCGCAGGTGGGATTTTTTTAATTTTCATTTATTGTCTAAAAGAAATGCACTACGAAATAACTGTGTACTCGGACCTAAGAGGTGAAATCAGGAAATATAGAATCTGTACTTTGGCAACTTCCCTGAATGATTTGATGGTGTCAATTTGTCAAATAACATGAAACTAAAGGATTTAAACTTTTATTTGATAAAATTTCTGCAAAAATTACCAATTTTGGCATTATATGGTCAAAATAAGCATTTCATAGCTTTTTCAATTTTGATGCATAAGTGGCATTCTGACTTTCTATCTGACAGGTTTTCATGTGTCAATATTTGTGTTTCTATGCTTTAATCCAGTTGTATTACTCATTTGTGAACTCTGAATCTACAGAAAAGAAGATTATCTTAGACAATATGTGTAAAATGTGTTGTATAAATGACCCTCGTCTAACGCCCTGTTTGGATCAAGTTAAATGTGAGGAGCTTGGTACATAAAAGTTGAAGTCCATAATAAAGACCTCACTAAATTTGTATAAAAAGCACTTAACAATGTCTTTTGTACCTGTTTCATTTAACATAATATCTTTCTTTTCTTCTGTAGGATAGCAAGTGGTTCAAATATATATATAAGCCTATCAAGACTAAAATTGCCTGCGAGTTTTTCACTAAAAAGTGAAAAATCTTTGTATCAGACCATACTGTCTGCAAAAAAAGTTGAATGCAAGAGTCTTTTTGTGCTCAGATTTATTGCATCATGTCACCTGAGTATAGAAATGATAGAAAAGACACACATTTTTATTTCCTATAGCTTCAATATGCATTTTTAAATGTAAATATGTGCTACTGCTACGGCTTAAATTGACCCTAAATAATTTTCAGTCTTACTTAGCCTAAGACCCTTTTAAACTAATATGATATGTTATTTGTAAGTTTTCTTTCCATTTAAAGTACATTAAATACATATGTAAGGATTATTTATAACCAAAAAGCTTCACAAATTTAAAATTGCTGGAAAATATTACATCTTCATGTAAGGCTCCCCTTCATTGGAAAACCTCCATTTTTAGGCACAGGCTCATATAAATTTGACTTTTGAATAATTATGCTAAGTCTGATATATCAAATGAGTACTCTATTGCTTTTAATACATGATATATTATATATTAAGGCATTTTAAAAGTATTTTTTTGCAATATTTTAATTTTAAAAGCCCCAAATGTTGATAGTTGAAATTTTTCAATTTTAACATCAAAATTTAACACGTAAAGTTGAATATAGAATTTATCATATTGTCTATAATATATATCTTATTGCCATGAAACTTTGTAAGCAGTCTCATAATTTATTAAGCTTTGGTCATACCAAGTTTTATTAAGATTGGTCAACTTTTTCTATCCTATTAGGTCCGAGTACACAGTTATCGTCCTTTGATTTTCGTTGTCCACAAATATAGTCCCTAGTGTGGACAGTGTGTTACTTGCCATTTTTTTTATACCCCTTCCAAATTTATTTCTCCATGTTTTATGCCTCAAATAGCAAGCAGGGGGATGAAATTACACTGTAAAAAAATTTGGGTCATGAATTTTAAAGTTAAGTAGTGATTTGGTCCAGCTGAAAAAGGTTAAAAATAAGCACTTCGGAAGCTGTCAAAAGATTTCAAGACCCCCTTAACATAAAATTGTCCATATTTTGAGTTAGAGCCGATGAAGTTTTCCATAATTTTGATATAATTTGTCCCAAAAGTAGTACAACACACTGTAAAAATATTATTGAGAAAGCGCAGGTGGGATTTTTTTAATTTTCATTTATTGTCTAAAAGAAATGCACTACGAAATAACTGTGTACTCGGACCATTTAATAGTAACTTCTAAAAATAAATTGACAGCTAATCACCTCAAGACAATACAACATTTCTTTATAACAAAACCATTGTAAGGGAGGTAACTCTTAATGCTAAAAAAAACCCAAACAAATGTCATATTGAATTCTGAATATGAAAATTTATTACCACTGAACCCTTTGATATACACTATTATTATATCATATATACTTCCATCACAATATTTGATGTTTCTAGAAACAGCTAAAAAATAATTCATACTCGAACTAGCTGACAACTTTACATAATTCAAAAGCAATGTAAGGGAGGTAATTCAAATATAACATTGTAATTATTATCTTTTAAATTTTATTTGATGTTTATTAAATCAAACAAAACAAATTTTATAGCCTTAGAACCAAAATTTGGACCAATTAGAAAATGGGCCCAACAACCAAACACACAGTTAGATTCATCATATGAAAAAAATTGTAATACTAATAGCATGAAAAATTGTAATATTTATAGCAAGAAGTCCCAACATAAAGAATCAAAGTTTTCTCAAAATCAAAATCCAAATATATTGTTCTCTACTATAAACTGTAAAATATCATGAATCAATCGAATGCTATCCCTTATATAATGCTTAATGGTCCAATATCTATATCATAGAGATCCAAAGACCAATACTTAGGTAATTGTCCATTAACCTGCAGGAAACCCTTGTTTTTTCCCTCTAATTCCTAAACCATTTGAGCCATAACCCCCCCCCCCCCCAAAGCCAATCCTAACCATCCCTTTGTGGTATGGAAACTTGTGGTATAATTTCAGAGAGATCCATACACTGTTCCACAAGTTATTGTCTGGAAACTAGAAAAATGCTTATTTGGGCCCCTTTTTGGCCCCTTATTCCTAAACTGTTGGGACCATAACCCCAAAATCAACCCCAACCTTCCTTTTGTGGTTTCAAACCTTGTGTTTAAATTTCAATTTACTTATACGAAAGTTATTGTCAGGAAACCAAATGTCTTCGGACGACGACGTGATACCAATATACAACTGCCCGCAAAATTTTTTGCGGTCATATAAAAATCAGTTGAAAAAGGCTTAACTCATCAGATGGATACAAATAGAAATACATCTAACAAAACAGAGTGGACGTGGATGGGTACTTATACATCCCCACAACAAAAAGAAACTAAGTACAGATCTGAGAGTACTCGCAGTTACTGACAGCTAGTTCAAAGCCAATAACAAATAATAAAAATGCACCTAAGTATAAAATATCAATCAGAACACATCCAAAATCCAATGGATTTAGTGTAAAGACGTCATAAACAGCCAGAGAAAAACATGACCTTGTGCAATGCCAAGATACAGGTTTCGATAGATTGTATAGCCATGAAAGTGCATACATTGTATGTATATAAAAATAATATTAGTTTGATTTTAATTTACTGATAACAAAATCAATATTCAAAGATCTTATTACAGTGTTCAATTGGTAACCTTTTAGAATTAAAGGATTGACAAGTTTACCCAGATCATTTCTAAATTCCCGGGCTCGGTAAACAACATCTCCGTAAATATGAGGATATTCTATCCCGTTTGAAATAAGTTTTCTACAGGTAAAACCAAACTTCAAAACCAAATCTTTATATCTATGGAAGAATTTAGTAAAGGTTTTTAATCGCCTAATAATTAAGCGATTTTAATGTTTTCTTTGATCTTGAAATACAGAATTCATAAATTTTCCACTGAGAAATTTTTCTTTAATTTGCTGACAATAAGAATGATGAATTATCCCTTTCTCTCATACCATAAGTTATTTTT